TGGCCAAGTCAGACCAAAAGTAATGAACAATACACAGAATGAAAAATGTATGGAGCAGTTTTGGAGCACACAAGGCTCTATAGTTGGACCAACATTGTATCTCAGAGTTAAACGGCAAGGTACAAGGCGAAGTTCTAAGGAGGTAATTGAATGGCGCTGAAAAATGCAGGGAAAGGCTCTCTGTGTGTGGTTGTAATTTATAAAGTACTTTAGACTCCATTCATACACAATAATGATGAAAGACCATTGTTAACTTTGCACAACAAATAGACAATTGTTCAGATGCCACCAGTGAAGAAAGCAGTGACTTTTGCAACACCAGATGTCTGAGCATGCAGACTTTGACTGCTCCCTTCAGGTGTGAAGACAAACTGTCAGTCACCTCAGCAGAAAATAGTTGTGTGCAATGTTTTTAACCTTTTATTTGAAAGGAACCCGTGGTATACACCATCCACAGCAAAGTACCATAAGTGTGTAGAACATAAAGTGCAACTACTACTGCCTGTGCTGCTGCCAGTATCTGTGTTTAGCTTTTGCCGTGTTTTGATAGGCACAGTATGCTTGGGGGTGCTTTGGTGCAGCTCTGGTGGGGCCTTTATGTCTATGCTCCGGGCATGGCTCTGAGCCCAGGGGCAGAGGTCCACTTTATTCTCGTATAACGGGTAACGATGTGAACAAGTTAAGTGAACATTTTAGAAAAAACACTCTCATGGCACACTGGTTGATAATTAAGGCAGTACAGTAAATGAGCAGCCAGCCCTAAGCCATGCTCACTTTTTTCTTTTTAATCATTGCACTTTTTTTCTAAATCAGGTTTTCTATCATAACCACAGAAGGCAGATCTGTGTTCATTTGCAACAAAGCTTGTGTGGAACAGAGAGAGCACTACAGCAGAGGACATGTCCCATGTAGGGATGGGTACCTGTCCATTTTTAGTAAAACCAGTATTTGATGGTGGTTTTCAGTACCGATATCTGAGCAGCATTTGTCAGTACTTCTTTCTGTATGAATCATTTTCTCAAATGACATAACAAAAGTACACTGTACATAAATCCAAATACCATTTCTCTGAGGAAGAACTGTAGTTTTCATCATTCATTTGTGATCACACTGCCAACTGCCTAGTCACTTTGTCGAGTGCTCTCCCTGCACCACCAGGCATACAATCAAAAAGAAAAATATCTTTCTCCTTCCATACAAGATCAGTGCTGGTTGTGCTGTCTCATGCAGACAAACTCCACGTGGACGTGGCTGCACTGGGCCTATAAGAGAAGTGCGGTGCACTGAAGTGAGATCTGTCAGAGTGACATTATATTATTGTTCACTCTAAACAAAAGGCTGAGCAGTTCCGTATACATATGCAGTGTAATGATAAAGGCAGAGCATACATGTGCACACAAGTCATGTGTCACTACAGACTGCTCACTGCTCAGGTACAGTCACTGCTGTTTGGGAGGAGGCAGGAGGCACAATACCCTCACCCTCCTGGACACAGGGTTCTTTGGGAAACTTAAATGAAAGCTCTGGAAAGGCTTCAAGGTTAGAGCATTTAAGAATTAGAACAGAACTCATTCAAAGGCTTTTGAAATGTTCAAAGTCAAATAACGGTTTGTTTAAGTCTGGGCCGATGTCACAGACCCCAACCCCACTTCTGTCAGCCTACCCCAGGGCAGCTGTGACCACAGAAGCAGCTTCACACAACCAGGTGTGAACTTATGAATAATGATGCTACATACATGAATGAACAAATCAATTACTCTCATTATGTGCACCAAGAGAAGGAAATGATCCCAAATAATAATACAACTGCAAACGGCCAGAAATTCCCTTAAAAATCCAATTGCGATTCAAGTATCAAAAAAGTGGTGGAGCCATAAAAGTATCCACAAAAGAGCAGATCACTTTACACTACACATTTTACATTTGAAACATTTACATTTACTTCAAGTGTTTAATCATCTTTTTAGTAGTTTTAGTCCTTACTAAAAGCCATGTACTTCTCATGTAGCTTTTCCAAAACAATTGCAATATATATTTATTTTTTTATATATATCACCCATCTATAGATAGAGGCAATTTTTACAGTCAGTAGTTGCCACCATGAGGTAACAACACAGGTGGATCACTAAGGCCGAGTACAATTATCAGTCTTGTAATTGAACTGATTTATGAAGTTGTAACTTTTGTTTTGGTGGTGAGTAAAATTAGCATAATACTGCCTACAGTAAAAGTTATATTCCGCTATTTTTTAACTGTCCAAGTGTCCATTCATGTTTTACTTACCTGACCAACCACCATTATTTCATCTGAATGTGGTCATCAGAAGAGTTAAAAACATAAATATCATTTTGTCAACATTATCTAGACAACACATAATGGATTTCAAACACGCAGGTACTTTCATTTGACTCTTGTACCACTGACAGAGCTCCATCTGTCTAGTTACACCAACAATAAAAACAATATCACTTTGTGTGCACCTCACATCAGACTTCTAGCTACAGAAGCAGTACTTTAGACACAGCAGTACAACAACACAGCTGTTTGATGTCAGACTTTATCCACACAGACACAGTTTGGTGCAGCTCACAGATCTTACAGAAAAGACTCACACAAATGTACAAACGAGAGGTGGACACAATGTCTTCCCTCTATAATCTTATGGACAAAACTCTAGCCTTATTAGTCATTTTGCAGCAGAGTCTTTGAGGTGACAGCTGAATGTCTCTGCAGTGCTGTGCACATGACAAATATCCCTCTATATTGTCTATTATTTTACATATATGCTCCAGAAGCAGATGCAGAGAAAGGCCAATTAGCACTCTGAACATTAGCCACACTCATCAACTGTGCCAAGAGCTGCTTTAAAGCCCTTTCAGCGACAGGACACTGTCTCGCACGGTCCTATGTCCAGTAAAGAGCAGACAGTCCCGTGTCCGTCACCTGCGGCCCACACCGTCCCCTGACCGCATCCTCTGTCCAAACAGCGCCTGGCTTTTCTCCCCATGCAGGAGTCACAGCATCAGCCTAGCTGGGGGGTTAGCATGTCCAGCGTCAGCTGTCTAGCTCCCGTTAGTTAGCTGCTTAGCTAGCCTGCTAGCTTGTTGTAATGCCACCGGATTATCCGACAAGTTCGGCTGCGTTAAAAGCGTCGATATTTGTGCGCAACATGTAAGCTCTGTCCAAATACTGTCTGGAGCCGAGGGCACAGTCTGGAGCCGAAAAGGTGGAACTCTAAAGCAGCTCGATCCGCATTAAATGTAAGAGAAGGGGCCAGGCGAGGCCAGGGCCAGGCCGAGCTGCTCAGGGTAGCTCTGAGGTTAGCATTAGCACGAAGCTAGCAGCAGTGCAAGCCCATCTCGTTCGCAGGGAGAGAGCGAAGAGAGACGCTCTACAGCCGAACGCCTCTGTCTGCATCTAATTCAGCCAGAAATGAACCAATACACCGAGGACATTCAATAGATGACACATCAGTGCTTTCCGCGCGATATAAGCGTGTAACAACAAAGGCTGGGACATAAAAATAGGCAAAAGGAGCCTTACCCATTAGTTGACTGCCTCTGCTGGTTCTTCTACACTGGGATATTGAAAATGATGGAGAGCCTCGGTGCGCATGCGCCGGAGTAAGCAGATGGGAGAGGTGATGCACGTTCACAAGCACATACATGATGCTGCACATGCACATTTAAGACAGGCAAATATAAGAGAAATACAAGACACATACTTCACACGCAACGGAAAATGTCCTCTTCATCTGTACTATGGACATGTATATACAAAACCCAAATGTACATGTTTTTTACAAAGAAGGAGTGTAGGCCAAATAACTATTAGGTCTAATATTTGTAACCCAAGTCTAGCAGTGGTTCAAGCTGCAGTGGACAAAGCTTCACATTTTGGGAGGCTACTTGTTGTTGTTGTTGTTTTGTTTGTTTGTTTGTTGTTGTTGTTGTTTGTTTGTTTGTTTTTTGTTTTCAAAATATTTATTGCGCCTGAAGGCTTTGCTCATATATTTGCTCAGATATTCTAAATGTATGGGTTACAGAACACTGACAGAGAATGCTTAGTTAACTGTATGATGCCCTCTTCTGGTAAGTGGACATGTTAAAATGGCTTATTAGCAGCTTTTCTATTAAAAACAAGACGTTTCTCTTATAATTTCCCTGTTATTGCTGATCAGTAGTCTTGTATGGGTTTTACAAACACACATCTCTGTATTGTCTACAAAGAGAGTATTGTGTTCAAACAGTACTTTTGAAACATATATACTATTTTCTTAACCTTACTGTTATAAACTGTAGTAACCCGAGAGGTGAGGAGAAGAGGCATGACACTAGAGCTCTAATGCAGGAGAAGTTTATTTACCATCAGTACGGGATCCAGCACTCGGACACATGAACCCTCAAGACACTGTGATAGTGTTGTCCTCTAGCCTTGTGCAATTCAGTCTGGCTATGCTTCTGTTGTAGGGAGTATTATACCTCTGATTACATAGGCCAAAATAACAAGGACTGAGCCGGTACAGCTCGGCAGTAGTTTCTTTATCACCTACATTACAGATTTGACAGCATCACATGCACACACAAACTGCTTATATGCTGTATAGCTTTATAATTTTAGCCTTATATTTGTGAAATCATGTTTTAAATCCTACATGTGCAGTCTTTAGCTATGTCTTTGGAGTGTTTGAGAGAAGCACTTTTTCACACTTGTGACCTAAACCTCTCACAATAAATCATTACATTTGTTTGTTTATTTATTTGTCTAGACATAATGCCATGATGTCACAGAGAAAAAAAAGTGAAATGTTTTAATGTCATTTGAAACAATTTGTTGTTTATAGATTTTAGCCTGTGATGTGACTCTCTCATGTGCATCCATATTTACTACAGATCTGCAGATGAACACTAAACCCGCCCCCAGCTCGTTTCTGTTGTGACGTTCAACCAATCGCAGCACGGATGGAGCACTTCAACCAATCAGAGTGCAGGAATGGAAGGCAAAGTGCGGAAGTGTTGGAAGTCGCGCGAACACAGAGCTCTCCGGAATAGTTTTCTCCTTTGATTCAGATCTATGGTTTTACATGATTTTTTAACTGTCTGGACATAACCGGTTCGTACATCTGCCTTCAACCCGCATCAGAATCCTCTTTTTCCCGTAAGCGTTTCCCGAGCGGTGGTCCTGCCGGTTCTGCACGTTTTTAGGTTGTCCAAAGGTAGTACATTCAACATGGGGCTACTACTCAGTTACTAACTTGTTGCAGTAATTCTTCCACTATTCTTTTACATATCGTGTATTTTTGCACCGATCTTCAAGAGACAAAAGCTGTTGAATTAAAAGAATATTGTGTTTTTATACTCTTAGTTTAGCAGTTCATATTTACACTACTAAAACACAAGTCTGATGTTACAATGTTTTTGTGACTTTATGCTTATTAATTCTGCTTAAGTAAACGTTTAAAGTAACAGTATATAAAATTTTAGCTACACCTCTACTATGTTTTATTCATTTTAAACGTGCATATTTCTGGATTCATTTCATTTTGCCATCTGCATTTGAGATGTTATTGTTTAGTCAAGAAAGTTTCACAGTATGGCATTATACCAGTCTATTTTGCATTTATTACAGGTACTTAAGGTTACAGGTGTAGAAAACATGAATTCTTGTAGTGAGCAGAGTCATGTCTTCACAGAGCTGACCAGTAACTTGTTTTGTTAAAGTTTCACTTGCTTGTCTTATGTAGATAGTAGTGTTGTCACAATACTAAACTCTCAATTTTGATACTAAAGATTAAACACTATACTCAATTCCAATTCTGATACCACGAAAAAAAAAACACTCTTTCTTTAGATAATAGAATGTGATTTTCAATATTCAATCATAGCGCTCTCTTTTATATTACCATGTGAGCTTTTATCTGTGTAATTCCACAGTCCACTGAGACTCAATAGTGGTCCATGGACATATACTAGTCTATGTGGCCTTATACTCAAATGCATATCTAGCTTCAATTAGTATCCAGTTCTTGATACTTTTGACAACTCTACAATGCCAACAATTCACTTGTCCTTTTCTTATTGTTTTACAAATTGTAATATAGTCTTACGATGTTTTTAGCTTGGTCATGAGTAAGAGGAAAACCAAGCAGACCCATGTTCCAGTCGGAGAATGCGTGGCTCAGGTCTGTTCTGTCTTGTAGGTAAGATTTGTTTTATATTGTTTATTCTTATAGTTAAAGGATCTCTTCTCTCCTCCACAGCTGCAGAAGATGCTGAGGGAGCGTTTGTGCCATGAGGAGCTCCCAGAGACGCCTGAGGGGGTGGCTGCACAGCACAAGTATGTAAAGATTCTAGATTTCAGGTTTATTTGAGGGGAAATCATGCAGATAAAAATATGCAGATTTGTATTTATTATTTTCCTTAAATCCTAATGTTGTTTGCTATTTTCTAAGTTTTTTATTACAGTAAATTTAGTCATGTTGTACATTGTACATTTTATTTTAATTAAATTGAAAATACATGAAAATATTCCAATATCTTTATTTAAACTAGACCAGGGACTAGACCAGGGACTGACGTGTGCAGTGTCTTGCCCGTAGACACACCAATAGAATGCTGTATTTTGTTATCTGTAATCTGTAAATTCCCCTGGCTCTGGATATTCTTACCAACATTTTCAAATGGTATTCCCAACGCAGCTGTAATTTTGAGGCTTGCACTTAGGGAGCAAAGTGAGTTGTGGAGGAGCTGTCAGGGGGCTCAGTGGCGTGCTTTGACCCACTTTAGTGCCACCTGACGGGGCTGTCCCAGTTTGGAGGCTCCCTGTCCTCTCCTCTGAGCCCAGATTCTGCAGCTCTGTTGGGGCTTAGGATTTCTGTGTAATTTAATTTTGAAAATTGATAATGTTTAATAGTAATGAAGTAACATTCTGACAATTTTATATGAGAGACAAAAAATATTTGTGCTTTGAACTGATTTGTTACAAATAAATTACTCTTCGAGCTAATGCTTCAAAAATAAAAATGGCAAAACATTCAAACAGCTACAGTTTGCCATATTGCATGTAAAATTGTTTAAATGTAAATTTTGAAATGAATCACCTCTTGCTCATAAGCCTCCATACAAGATACAAATAATATAACTTTTTTATAAGTAACTTCAAAATTATTGTGAAAAATTTTAGTAATATTTTGGTGGTTACGGTTATGTAGAACATACTGGATGAAGCAGCGGCATCTCCATGGAAACACAAGTATCAGACCATCTGCTAGAAAAGTTACATAGTGAAAATAGTGAAAAAATAAATAAAAAGTAAAAGATGTTGATAGTCTGTCCATTGCAGACACTTACTGGAGCTGCTCCGCCGCACTGCGCTCCATGGTGAGAGTAACTCGGTGCTGATCGTGGGACCTAGAGGAGGGGGCAAAACCATGGTGAGTTCTGCTCTGTACAGCCTCTAGGGGGCGTCAGGACACTGTCTAATGTGTGTGTGCTTGTGTGCAGCTCCTCAAGAGTGTGCTGAAGGAGCTGATGGAGGAGAAAGACATAAACAAGACCCTTATGCAGGTTCATCTCAACGGTAAGTTGAAAAGGGTTTAAACTCCATACATTATCTTATCGTGTGAAAATCGAGCTTTTTACCATATTAGTGTTCCCTCATCTGTCTCTTACTTAGTATGGATTTTTGGATTTTTGTAATCCCGCATTGTTCTGCATTCAAGGCATGAGTGCTCAGAAAATTCCTGTTTTCATCTACCCCTTATCCCCACTTTGTGTTTGCAGGTCTTCTACAGACTGACGACAAAATCGCTCTCAAAGAAATCACCAGACAGCTGCACCTGGAGAATGTTGTGGGCGACAAAGTCTTTGTAAGTCTGTAAACACTACAACTAACTATTATTTTAGTAGTTAAAGTATTATTCTTTTGTACATTGACATTTTTTAACAAAATAAAGGTTGAAAATTTGTGACTGGATGGTTAATTTTTGCCAGTTTGATTTAATAATCTTTTAGACTCTGTTTACTCTAGTTAATGATTACAACATTTTAATAGTCACGATGATTCCGTTGCAGTAATAAAAAGGTGATTACATACAGTTTTAGATTTTACAGCAGTTTTACTTATGGCTGTTGTCAAATTACTGATGAATCTGTATGTTTTTGTTTCCATCAGGGAAGCTTTGCAGAGAATCTTGCCTTTCTATTGGAGGCCTTAAAGAAAGGTGAGTTCAACCTTCCAATTTTTATTTATTTATTTATTTATTTTTTATAAATATGAATTCTTAAAATATTTTTGTACATTTCTCAAAAGCATTATTTCTGCATTTTGGCAACACAACAACATAATAATGACAACTCAGTGCACCATACTACCTAATATCTAAACCTTTGGATTTGAATGCAAAACTTGTCAGAACCTGAAATATTATCATTTCATCTCCTGTGTTCTGTGCTCCGTTCCCAGGTGACCGCAGCAGCTCTCGGCCCGTGCTTTTCCTTCTGGATGAGTTCGATCTGTTTGTGCATCATAAGAACCAGACTCTCCTCTACAACCTGTTCGATGTGTCACAGTCGGCCCAGGCTCCCATCGCTGTGGTGGGCCTAACCTGCCGCCTGGTCAGTCTCCTTACTCCTTTGTAAACTCTGTATTTTGACTTTTCTTTTCAAGATAATTCATGTTAGTTTCAGCTTTCTGATTTAATGATTTATATGGGAGAACAGCAACAATAGCAAGATGTAGTCAGTTAGATTTTGAATCATGCACCAATACAAACATTTTTTCATATTTGCTGGTACAACTGTAGTCTTGTGACTGTGTTGAGCTGAATGGTCAGATACACAAAGATATTTACTGGGTAGCCGCAGGGTCTTAAAAGTCTTAAAAAGGTCTTATTTCATGTTCCTAAATTAAGGCCTTACAATGTCTTAAATTATGTTAGCCCAAGTCTTATTTTTTTCTCAAATTTCTTAAAATTCATTAGCCTATTTTTTGTATACTCAACCAGGCTGCAGTGCAATCTTAAATGGAAAAGAAAAAAAACAACAACAATGTGAATGAACGTCTAATTTAGAGTACGCGCAAACAATACTTTGGTTTCTGGCGCCGGCGGCAATGAGTAAACAATCAGTAGAGTGGAGGAAGACATCGGGTGGATCATGGGGAAGTGAAGGTTTAATCCACAGGGGCTCTTAGATTTTGGATCTAGTACAAGAGTTGGTTGGTCATTATTAGAATTGGATCTGATGTTTTTCACATGATCTGAATTTTCATTTAAGTGGTCTTAAAAAGGTATTTTAAAAGTCTTAAATTTGGAATAGTCAAACATTGGATTATCCTGTATTTAATAGTGTGGAGTGTGTGTCTATCTTGTCCTGCTGCTTAAAAATACCTAATATAGTGACAACATAGATATACCTGCTACTTTTAATCATTGTGCAAAAAAGTGTATATTTGTGATGACAGAGAAGATCTAAGATGTTAAGATATTAACCATAAACTAGGTCAAACTTGAGCATTTTGACTGTTAAACACAAATTCTACGCTCTACTCAATATTAAATTATGTTGCCAACTTCCCTGTGTTGAAGGATGTACTGGAGCTGCTGGAGAAGCGCGTCAAGTCGAGGTTCTCCCACCGTCAGATCCACTTGTTTAGTGACGCCACCTTCCCTGATTACGTGCAGCGCGTCCAGAAGCAGCTGTGGCTCCCAGCGACCTTCCCTGACCAAAGATTTGCAGAAGAGTGGAACAACAGTGTCAAGGTAGGCCTCTGTCTGTTCTCGAGATAGAAGTGTTATGTGGTAATATTATTTAATGATTTTAGCGAATAGAATAGAAGTTTCGCTAAGATAAGATGCCTGATAAATCTTGGAAATCTTGGAAATCTTCTTATCTCGTCCTATGCTATGTCTCGATCAGGCTCTGTGTCAGGACAAATCAGTTGAGGACGTTCTTCGGAGACACTTCAACTCCAGCAAGGACTTCCGCTCCTTACACGCGCTTCTGGTGAGGACAATAGTCAATAATAATCAGTCAATCAATATCGTTATGGGCAGGACATCAGGGCTTTTGTTTGGTCTTCTAACTGTGTGTGGACTTCTCCTGATGTCCTCCTCTAGATGTTCTGCTTGAGCCGAGTCTCTGTAGCCAAACCCTCCATCAAACCCGTGGACGTCCTGGAGGCTAGCCGCATGTGTATTGCTGATGCGAAAGCGAACATGCTGCATGGTATGTTAGTACGTTCAACTACTTTTTCTATGCCTGTGTTTGTACATACTTTTGATAATTAGTATGTATATGTATTTTTTCACCTGCTTGTTGATGGTGATGCCATTGCTTTGACTGGGATATTCCACACTGTGTAAATCTGTAAACTTGTCATTTTTTCTTGCTTCCCATACATTTGATATGCTATGATAAAGAGATAATATGTAACATTGATTTATCATTGCGCTGTGGTTGTAACGTAGAAGTGTGTGGTTGCATGTTCTCACAGGCCTGTCCATCCTGGAGCTATGTCTGATCATCGCCATGAAGCACCTGAACGACCTGTACTACGGAGAGCCCTTCAACCTGCAGATGGTCCACAACGGTACGCCAAAGTTGTTGTTTCCTTTTCAGAAACATATCATGTTTTTCCGAATTCCAATTTATGTCAGGAAGAGCCCCTCCATGTTTTTTAAAGTCTGTATGTGTCCCAGCGCAGTTCTGCCAAACCCAGTACCTAAATCTGTCCCAAAACCCTAACGAAACGCCTAACCTTAACCTGATGGAGAAATAATTATACTATCAAACATTTACTTTTCATTGTGTAGCACCAATGCAAAGTGGCTGTTATTAGACATAAGTGCATTGGGGTAAAAAAGTGCAGTCCCTGTTAGGGGTGTGAAAAAATGTCAAAATATCGATATATATTGTATTGTTTAATGTGATCAAGTGGTCAAGAGTATTTTTTCAGTTCTTTGTTTGTTTAGAGGAATGAAACTCATTTATGAGACACATTTGACATTTTCATTGTTTTGATGATTAAAATGTTTGTGTTTTATATGAACTTTATGCAAGAAGTGGTTTAACAAAGACTTTTAGTATCACAGCCATGATTTAGCCTTTATTTTTTATTGTATCGTATCAACTCAATTTTAAATATTGTATTGAATTGGAAGCTCACTGTATCGAGATGTATATTGTATCGAGATGTATCGTATCGGCAACTTCTTAATGATACCCAGTCCTAGTCCCTGCTGCATCTGTGATTCAATTCTCCTGGTGACCTGCAGAGGGCATCAGACACATAATCCAAAATTTCTCAGTTAAAGGTGAATTATGTAATTCCTTTAACTGAACGTCCACCACTTGCTTGCCTGCATGGAGGTGTTATTTCTTTACCTAGAATGTTCCACGGTATGGCATTAAAATGACCTCAATGGATGAAAGCAGGTGACATCACCTGGTGAAGTTACAGGTCAGATCTGTGGAGAGGTATGCAAGCACAGCAAGAATGTATGTTTTCAAGGAATTTTTGAGTAATGGTCATTTGTAATATTCATTCATTCAGGCAAAGCAGTAACATCTCCATAGAGACCACCAAAAAACTGCATAGTCATGGTGCATTTTCAAAATGCCAAAAATATAAATAATAAATATACTTCCAAACAATATTTTTTAAAGTATCAGAGAGATCAAGTATTTATATTATTGTACTGTATATTGCTCATTATGGATTTTTCCTTCTTTTTATTATTTTCCAGAGTTTAAAAAATTTCTGCAGAGGAAGTCCAGCACCATGTACAACTTTGAGCAGCCCGTGGTGATGAAGGTGGGTGCGCTCTGCTCTCTTCTCCTTTACAACCATGTACAGCACATTTTTTAAACAGTGGAACTAAACCTGTGCCCTGCCTCTGTGGCCCCAGGCGTTTGAGCACCTGCAGCAGATGGAGCTGATTCGGCCCCTGGACAGCTCGGGGGCCCGGACCCAGAGGGAGTTCCAGCTCATGAGGCTCCTGCTGGATAATAGTCAGATCATGGAGGCGCTGCAGAAGTACCCCCAGTGCCCTACAGATGTCAAGCAGTGGGCGCTGTCCGCATTTGGATAAAAAACAAAAACTGAGCTTTTAACAAGAACTGGGCTCAAGGGGAAGAAAATGGACATGTTATAATGTTATCTTCACAAACACTTAAATCTTTAGCCATGTGGTCAATAAAATGTATAATAAAATGTAACATTTCTGCATAAAAAAATACTCTTATATTTATTACAAATTTGTTTGGAAAATGCAGATGTTGAACAAGTATAAAAGCATTAAAAGTATTAAATATTTTTATTGATTGGAAATAGATGTGGAAATCGAGACTAAAGTTAGGGTTTATTTTCTCTAAATTCAAGTGAAAATGTATACTTTAAACTTCATACTGTTGAGTACAAATCATGCAATTTATAGTAATAATTGTAAGTGCCAGATACATTTGTAGATTTCATGTTGATTAGTCAAAACTGTAAATCAAGATTAATACTTAAATAAATAAATTAAGCACTTTTAATTTCTTAAATATTACAGTTTTTACCACTTCGACTCATGATTTATGAAATGACTAAACCAAATCTAAAACAAGTCTCCACCAGTACTCTACTGTGACCTGAGTGTAAAACTGTCCCCCATCAACCCAAAATACGCTATATGCATAGGTACAATCTTCCAACTAATGAGGGATTCATCAGCCGGTTTCACTTCATGGAAACCGTCTGACCTCGCAGCATTAGGATTCATTTGCTCAACGGGAGGCAAGTACTTTTTAAAAAATTTGGTGCTATTTGGTCGTGACATATGTAATGTGCCAAATCTCGTAGGAAGAAGGGTAATAACGTCTTTCCCCTTGATAAAATTCACTAAACATTCTCTTTGTTCCGGCTTTAAATCCTCGATCTCTGGATTTGTTGCCAACACAGAATGTCTGTCTTCGTCTACAGCCATGTCAACCGCTTTGTTTACTGTTGTGCTGTACCACAAAAGGGTCCCAGACAGGTGCTTGAGTTTGACATCATGGCTTCACAGCTCTTCGCTGATTGGCCAGTGCGCAGTCTACAACTTCAAATTGTCTAGTGTAACTTACAAACCATCTAGTGTATTTTGATTGCTGACCTACTCACTGGACAGAAATGAAATTGAACGGAAGCACTAGGTTGCGCCAGCCTGACTAAGTGAGGGATGGGTGAAATGCAGAAAATAAATTACCCTCACAAGTGATTAATAGAGTGTATCTATGTAAACCAAAATGAAAACATATATTTTAAAGTAATCAAAATGAATAAATACTAACTACAGCAGATCCTAAGTATCACAAGAAGGAGCCCAGATTGGCATCATGATATCATCTTTAATCCCTGTGGAACATTGCACACGATCGTTCATTTTCGACAGACAAATGCGTATTTGGTCAGCTCACAGTAATGAATACAAAATAATTCATAAATAATAATAAAAAAAATCTTCTTGTTCACACAGTTACAAATTTGTACTTTGTCGAATACAACGGGACACTGCAACCACTTAAGTCTGTACACGTATTCACATTTGAGTGTTGTTACTGCACTGGCCGACACAGCTTTCCCATACAACCGCTGTGTAAAGGGTTTTTCAATGGTTCTTTTGTGATGACAATGATTTTTAATACAGTCACTGCACATTTTACTGTCGAGTAATGATTCAAGTCCACATCGAACACTTACGAGAAGGGCAGCACCGTCTGACCATTCCTCCTCCAGGGAAAAAAAAAAAAAAGTGCACAATCAATAGTCTTCCCCACAGACATTACATGACACTATAATGTGAGTATTCGCGCCGCTTCGTAAACCGTCCCAGCAGAAAAATAAACTTTCAACGTGGTTCCACAAGTCGGACAATGTTAAAAACAAGAGCACCGTAGAGATTTCCAGTCCAGTGGTTGGCTTTGAGTTTTGAGCTGCCCTCGGAAAGCTGCCCTCCAGTCATTCCAACATGGCGTCAACACGAATGCACTTACATATGTTCACATGCACACACCCAAACCACCCTCTGGCAGTTACTCGGAACCCCGTTAAGTCCTTTCACTCCAGACGCAGGGGTCGCTCTAGTCCACTGGGTAGCGTAGGGTTGTTCCGATAGTTACTGGAATCCGATTTGAAGACAAGTCGTTCTCCGTTTTGAGCATACTGTGCTCCAAATGACTCAAATGTATCCCGCATTGTTTACTGTGCCGTGGCTATTCCTTTACTAATGCCCAACAATTTAAAGAGGAGGTATTTTACTTCTACGTGGTATTAACTGCCAAACTGTAATATATTTAGATCACCATGTTACCTTTTCATTGTTTTCAAATGCTGTATTCGCCCCAAAACAATGTATTAATACGTTTTATGAGTTTCGTTTTCATTTCTGACAATTTTCTCTGATTTTCTCCACCCTTTGCTCTCTGCACTAAGTCACTCTCCCTTCAGAGCGCTACCACAACACAATCAGCGTAAATGAAACTATCACACATCGCATCAGGTTTGTCAAGTTGTACAGTTTTGCAACATGCTTTTGTATATTTATGGAGAATTGTTGATTGTGATATAGGCTTGTGTGCTGAATGTTTGACAAAATCTTACTGCTAACTGTAAGGAGGGCTTGACAAGGGCCTGGGCGAGATTGCTAAATTATCGAAATATGCATGAATGATACATAAAACCTCTTCAGACATGTTTTTGAAGTCATGTTTTTCATGACTTTTCATACGTTCCTTTTACTGTGAATGTGTTCTCGAACATAACAGTTGCAATCAAAATTATTCAACCCCCACTGCAAATTAGGTTTATTGGTAAAATGTACAAACTAGCAGCTCTTTACAAAAAAGAAATCAAATGAGAACTATTTAAGTTGCTCAGCAAAACTAATATTACAAGTGCCAAATTTTTCAACTCAAAAATGCTACTTTTAATGACTACTGCAGTCTCAGCATTACTCAGCCCCTTCATGACAAGCATCTTTAGTACTTAGTATCCTTTTGCTTTTATGACCTGCCGCAAATGTGATGCACAGCCAGACACCAGCTTCTGGCAACATTCCTGAGGCATTCAGTTCACTAATATTCTTGGGTTTGCGTCAAATCCCACCAAAGATTTTCAATGGGGTTCTACTCACGCAACTGAGATGAGCCCTCCAGTATCTTCCAGGACTTCTTCTAAATCCAAAGCCTTAGTGGACTCTGAAGTATGCTTGGGATCATTGTTCTGTTGGAAGGTCCAATGACGCCAAACCTTCAGTTTCCTCACAGATGGCATGACATTTTCTCCCAGGATTTCCTGATACTTGATTGAATCCATCTTGCCCTCCACACGCTGCAGGTTTCCAGTGCCATATTTAGTTAGACATATTTCTAACAGGCAATGAAATGTCACCGTCACCAGTCCAGATATGTGAGGGGTTCTATGTCCAGCACTACCTTATGCAACTAAGTGTTGAGCTACTTATTTTTTGAAAGAGAAATACAGCGACAGTCTTTTTAAATGTTTGCATGGAAATAGAAATAATTTGAATCATCATTTTTGAGACCGCAGTAGCCATTAAAAGTAGCAATTTGTGTTGAATTCGGAGAAACCACTTGTAATATTAATTGTGTTGAGCTACTTAAATAGATCCCATTTTGATTTCTTTTTTGTAAACAGCTGCTAGTTCATACATTTTACCAATAATCCTAATTTGCAGTGGTGGTTGAATGATTTTGATTGCAACTGTATGTAATTATTGATAAATCACAATATATCGTCCTTTGTTTTAGTATCGGGACATATCGTGATACACTGAATCGTCACAGGCATATCGCGATACGTGTCATATCAGATTCATGGCGATACACACCCTTATTCACAGTTAATACCCCATGGAAGTAAAATACCCCTGCAATCACAATGCTCGTCCAAAAAAATCACAATTCGATATTTTTTCCAAATGGTTCAGCCCTAATCAGAACAACGTTAGCATCCCACCTCCAGCAGTGAGTCCAGTCCCGTCCCCGCCGTCCATCCCTCCCCACACATGGTCCTACAGAGGTGGCTCTTTGGATCACACCCAGGAGTCAGGGGAGCCGGTGAACTTGTTGGCGCGGTGTGAAGGCCTCCGCGTGGTGGAGTAGAAGTCCACGTAGTTGGTGTTGGCTTTGAAGGGCAGGGTGCGGTAGTCGGGGGAGGTGCAGGGGCTCAGGGGCACCGGCTCGTCCTCCATGTCCTCGGCGAAGCCCTGAGGAGACGACAGGTACATTCTGTAGCTGTTGTAGTTCTTACGGCCTGGCTCGTCAAAGAACAGCTCCGGGTTCTGCAACATAAGAATCAATTTGTTAATTATTTGGATTAGGACAATGCATATTAGTCAATGTGTCAGCAAGTAAAACATGAATAAGTGCACTATGAAATATAACTTTCTGGAGGAAGAACACCAGCTTGTCTCCATGGAGATTAAAGTTATTGCTGTGCCTAGAATATTCCAAAGTCTAGCATTTAACCATCTCTTATTCTAACTACAATATATCCACCAAGACAAGCAGAAGACACCTCTAGGCAAAGTTAGTTAGATCTAAAAAGCACCAGAAACAAATCTATTATTACGCCAGACTGTTGATGTGAATGTCTGTGCTGATAATAATTTTAGAAGTAAAACCAAAATTGCATTTGAAGAATTTTTGTCTGAGCAGCAGCAGCGAGTTGTACTTCCTGATAGAAAGCTTGGCAGCGGCGGACTGATATATGAGAAAGTAGTCCTTCAACATGCAACGATTCATGTGATGCAAGGTTAGTTTTATTTCAAACATTATTCTACCAACATAGACATTTACGTCGACAATCTGGCGTAATAATAGATTTGTTTCTGGTGTTTTGTGGAGTGGGTAAGACTCCACAAAGTTTTTAGTGGCAGGATAACTATGGCCATAGACATGCACTAGCCTAGAACCAGAGACCTCTGCAAATACAAGGACTGGATGGAATATTTTAAAAAGTGTCTCCACACGTCTCCAACACTCTGGCTCACTAGGAAATGAGGTCCTATGTCAAAAATTCCAGACTGTCCCTTTAAGTCAGAACTTTAATGTCATACTGTGGGATATTCCAGGCACAACAGTAACAGCTACACGGGGACATCCTCCGGAAAAGTTGCATAGTGCTTTGTTAAGTATTCAAGACACCAGTGTTCATTTTGTCGACTATTATATAACTATTTTTGTTTGTTTGTATCAATGTCAATTTTTTTGCTGACAAAAAAATAGTTCCACATTTAAATCTCACAACAAACTATTATGGATGGTGTTACCTGGGAGCGCCGCAGGTCCTCTCCAGACTGAGATGAGTATGTTCCAATGAAGTAAGGGGTTTTCTGCTCAGAACCTGTGCACACACAAAACACAAAGTAGTCTTTAGAGTAGCCTCCAAACCAGGGTGCAGAATATTGTAAATGCAGAATATTCTTAAATACATATGAATCATAAATGATTTTCAAAAACAGAATATCGAGTATATTAATATCAACAATTGCAATGTTATCCTTTTTCTTGACACCGCTACACTACTTATTCTTATTATTTGTTTTCATGTGCTCCAGAATTACTAAACAGGCCAGCAATTACTTTGTTAGCCTGTAGTCCGGCGAGTTCCAGTGGATGGTAATGACATGTACTGCCCCTCCCACGTCAGACATAAGCATTGATTTAGTGCTGGGTTACCTGTGTAGTGGTGCTTGTGCAGGCTGTTGTCTGTATAATAGGAGTCCAGTTGCATAGATTGTGCCCTCTGGTAGTTCGAACTGTGTCTTCTGATCCCGAGCATCGCCGGAGATGATGTGGCACTGCCCCCTGGTGGACATACAGAGTCATGAAAGGATAAATACATGAGAAGTATGAGCTTTTTGTGTGTAATTGTGGTTTATTTCTTTTTTGCACAAGAGTACTGATTTATACTTAAGTAAAAGTAGAGCTACATGGCTAAAAATTTACTGAATTACAAGTACATTTACTGCTTCCAAATGTGTAGTATATAAAAAGTATATAGAAGTATAAAGTAGGCATGGAAAACACAACTACTATAATATTACTCAAAGTACTCATTACGTTTTTAAGCAGTTTAAATTTTATAGTTTTCATACAAAACTTGATTAATTAAACTGTATAAAAAGCACATTGTCTTAGCTATACAAGTACATTTAGAAAAGATAAACTTTATAAAGAAGCATACACAAATACTTTAAACTTTTTTACCAAAATAAAAGACTAAAATAAAATCATGTTTTCCACTATGGATGTGTTTATTGTACTGAAAAATATAGAAAAACATGTGTCCTTACTGAGCGGGCTTGCATCTCCACAAACTTGACTCTTGCTTGTTTCCATGGAAATGTTGGCTCTAATTTTCTAATCTTAAATTTTTTGTTAATATTTTCTTATATAATGTACAGCCTATAAACACATGTTCTAACTTTAACTAAAAAATGGAATTGATTTACAGCTGTACACCTACATTTTTGTCTCCGTGCCGATTTATTTGCTTTGCCCGGAATGTTTCACAGTATTATATTAATCTTAACTATTTCCATGGAAACAAGCAGGAGACGCCAACTGAAGAAAAATAAAATAAGCAACAAAAATGTACTCAATTACAGTAACGTGAGGATTTCTTATTTTCCACACTCGTCTAAATATTCTTAACACTCTAGAAAATAAATTCCTGACCTGATTGGACCACAGGGGTGATGTGCAGGGGGCTTGTGGGCAGGGTGGGCTGTGAGCGGTACCGGTCTCGTTCCAGGGTGGAGATGGGGGTGACGAAGTGGGTGTAGTTCCATCCGTCCTGCGCACACATGGTACATCCAGAGTCAGTATACAGAGAGCTTATGTACAGTGTGTGGTCATGTCGAGTATGGCGGTACGGGACAGAGTCTGACCTGTTTGTAGAGGCCCCGAAGTTCTCTGTACTGCCATAGAGTATTCAGCACCTGCGCCGCCGCCTTCACCACCTTCACTGAATACCTGACCACACCACAGGAGAAAACACAGAGGACACAGTTTTAGTGAAAAATGCACATGTCTTGGCGTAAGTTATGGTTATGATTGCACTTTTTCAAATGCTCAAAACCCTTTCACAGTTTCATGCATCGATTCACTGCATACTGGGGATAAGATACTTGTAGCCACGGCTGCCCTAGGGTGGTCTGATGGAAGAGAGGCAGTCAATCTGCACCATGAGCTTATCTGGCCTCAACTCTCACACCACAGTTATACTAGGCAAAGTGGGTGCCTAGCCTAAGGACGTAACAACGGTTTGCACAATAGAGTCAGTGCTGCTGCAACACCAGGAGACTGACAAGGAGGTTTGGCCACATGAACAGGCACAGAGGTTACTTCTTTGTCGGCACTAAAGTCCAACAGATGTGAATTACATGAATCAGCTGACAGAAGGCGTTTGAAGTCATAAGCAGACATACAATGTGCTGCCATGAGCTCCATGAACCACTAGAGGGCTGTAGAGCTGAATGTTTTGCCGCATTATGCGATGATTAATTTTTATGTAAAAGATTTGTTTGCATCAGTCATAATTATATCCTGGTTGACAAGACCTAAAAAAACAGGTTTTGCATTTTGCTCTTCCTTTTGGGAGATTTCTTTAAAATACTAATGTAACCAGAGGTGGACAGAGCAGCCCAAAAATGTTTAAAGTCGACATAATGTTACTTCAAAATAATATTACTCAAGTAGTGCAATGTAGTGGTCCACGGAATGACTCAGGTAAGAGTAAAAAGTATATGAGAAAAGTACTCCTCAGGTTAGAGTGACATAATAAGTAACAGTTAGGACGTAACATTTGATGTATCATTTAAAGTTAATGTAATTATAATGACATTTAAAAATGCACAAAATCTAATATGTTTAAAAGGAGAGACACAAAAAAGAGACAAAATCATATCTGAAGGAGCAGTGGACAAATGTTCAAATCATTTCATATTGTCAACTTAAAGCTTTTTCATAGACTGTACAAAGAAGTGGACTAAGGGAGTGTGATGTCACCCATAAGTGTTCAGCTCCAGTCAAATGAAGCTCATTGAGGCTTGCAGTTATAGGGGTACATATAGAGCCAGTTCTATATTAGGAAAAGGAATTTATTTATGGACAAAATAGTTAAATGAAAACACCAGGATCATGTAGAGCTGATTAATATGAACATTTTACGAGCAAAATGACGAGGCTCACAGAAAGACAATTTCATTTTAAAGTTAATTGGAGTCAGAGCTGATGGAGCTGGAGCTATACAGTCTTTGAATATTACCAACTTCTGAATGTAATCTATTTCAAACTATGAGCTTTTCAGAACATTATAACTCCAAGAAACCTGCATTTGCTAATAAGTGAGTCATGTGTGGAGCTCACCCTTTGCCTCGGCCCTTGCTGATGTCCACCAGCCTCTCGATGCCTCCGCAGTCGGCCAGGGCTTTGGCATTGTCCACGTTGCGGCTGGTGACCTCGTGCAGCGTGCAGCAGACGGAGGCCAGCGTGTCGTCACACAAAGCAGAGGGTGCGGTGCCAGGGAGCCGATTCACCAGGTCCCGCATGGCGTACTTCCCTGAGGGGGGGCAGATGGGCAGAGGGACAGAGGGACAGAGGTCAAGAGTGAGCCATAGGGGGGTGCTGTACACTTATTGTTCAGGTTCACATGACAAGACTGAACATTGAAACATTTCCACTATCTATTCTATTATGATGTACTTTGAGATGGACAATTACTGTGAAAAAGATCCAAGGAGACAAGCTGGTAACGCCACTAGGCCAAGTTACAGGTCAAATCTATGAAAACTTAAGTAGATTTAACTTAAGTCTACTTAAGGGTCACATCTCATTTCTCTTTCCTTGCTTCTTTTTCCTTGATTCCTCTGAGGAAGTCGCGCCCACAAGGAGACAAAGCAAGGAGAGAGACTATAAACTCCTCACTGAGACCAATAAAGTTTGATTCTTTTCTCTGACGTGTTCTCCGGAAGCCTCCCTCAGGTTTCCTTGCTTCTGTGGTTTTCTTTGGGACAACACTTACTGCGTCACATTTGATAGGCAGCTGAAAAATGGTACCTAGGCTGGCGCCACCTAGTGCCTCCACTCAATTTCATTTCTCTCCAGCCACTAGGACAGGAATTGGAATACACTAGACGGTTTGCAAGAACCCTGGAAGTGCAAGTTCGGGCACCAGCCAATCAGTGAAGAGCAATACATTCTGTGTTGGCAACGATTCCAATCGAGGATTTAAATCCAGAACAAAGAGAATGTTTGGTGAATTTTATCAAGGGGAAAGACGTTATTGCCCTTCTTCCTACGAGATTTGGGAAAAGCTTACTATACAAGTTAACCCCATTAGTGGTGCATTACATACGTGACTACCAAATAGCAGCGATTGGTTACATTAAAAAAGTACCCGTCTACCATCGAGCAAACAAATTCTAATGCTGCAAGGTCAGACAGTTTCTATGAAGTGAAACCAGCTGATGATTCAGGCTAGAAAAATGGAGGAGGAGGATAGAGGAGAGGAAGCAAGGAGCAGGAAGCAAGGAAAGAGAATTGAGAGGCAGCCATAAAATCATAATTGACTTGAGGAAAAACAAACAAACGCATTATCACAATGGCCTCTGCATCAATGGAGACTTCCTCTCCAGGAACTCGAAGTTCCTGGGTGTGCAGAACAGTGAGGACCTGACCTGGAGCCTAAACACCTCCAGCATTATAAAGTGTGCCCAGCAGAGACAGTTTTTTTCTGCAAACACTCCACCGCAATGGGCTCTCCAAGAAGCTGCTGACCAACTTCTACCAGTGTACCATCGAAAGTGTTCTGACGTACTGCTGCACATCACAGTACAAAGCCTGCACAGCTGCTGAAAAGAAGGACCTGCAGCGAGTGGTGAGAACAGCTGAGAAGGCGGTGGGCTCCTCCTTCCCGAACCTCGCCACCGTTTACTTTTCACATCTCTGCACATGGGCCTCCAACAATCTGCAGGACCCCACACACACTGGGAACTGCCTCTTTCATACTCTCACATGGGGAAGACTTCAAACTCCTTTCACACACACATACGGTCTGCGCAAGTCGAAGTTTCGTTGTACAATGACAATAAATCTAAATCTGTTTATAGTTTTCATGTGCAACGTCCCAAGCAAAGAAATAACATCTGCGTGGAGACAACTAGCTGATGGGTCTTCTACCAAAAACTGCACCTTTAATTAAAACTTTGCCATTTTACTCCCACTGGAATCAAAACTAAAAAGGAAAATTACAGCTGCACCTTTTCAGCAATACATCTTTGCTTATGTAAGTCCAGTGAGTGCGGTGCTGTGTTCAGACTGACCGATGAGCTCCTTGTTGCGGGCGTCCAGAGCCATGTTCCTCAGGGCGGTGGCCACAGAGCACACCACGCGGTCGTTGTCCATCCTCAGCAGCTCCACCAGGATGGGCAGCCCCTTTTCCTTACGCACGGCCGCGCGGATGTACGCCGAGAACTGCACGCAAATAAAAACATAGTCACATATACAACTAGGAGGTAGAAAAAGTTAGTGAGTGAATGAGTTTGCTGAAGATATGGTATTTTTTGGAATCTTTCATTTTGAAATCAATTGTTGTTTTTGCAGTTTGGGCAGATGCATAATCGTTTTGAATCATTTTTTAGTCAACAAATCGATTGGCAGCACATGTCCTAACCCTAATCCCCGAACCTTAATCCTCGGTACTTCAAAAGCCGTTGTATGAGGTGGTTATTAATATGAAAAGAGAGCCATTGTGTCAGAGGAGCCATACCTTCCAGTTGCCAGCGGACAGGTTCTGGAGCGCCCCTGCTGCCCCCTCCAGAGTGGCCGGGTTGGAGCTCTCGGCCAGCAGGTTCAGGTAGGGCTTCACCACCAGGGGATGCCACAGCAGCTCAGCCCCCCGCAGAGGCTGAGACAAACCTGGAAGGGGTCCCACGCCATCAAACTGCGCACAACAGGTTCAGAGTTAGTCATTTGTACATTCACTTAGTCTGTTGATGTGCTCCTTAATTTGTCAAACAGGGGGGGATTATGTAAAATCAGCTTTTATGGACCTTTCTCATCAAAAACATGCCTGAAAAGGTTTTATATGTCATCCATGCATGTTTGAGTATCCTTGAGATTTCTCTCGCCGTTCAAACCTTCCTAACTGTTTTTTTTTTTTTTTCCACAAATGTTTTTATTATTGAAATATAAAATGACATTATACAAAAATAAATAAATTAATAAATGCATATTCACTCAGTTTGAATTATGATTTCTATATGTCAAAATTCTTTACAATGTGCAAAAAGGGCAACCAAATGTCTTTAAAGTCTTCAAGTTTTCCTTTAGATATGTAGCTCAACTTCTCCAGTGACAAATTGCTGGACATTAATTTAATCCACTGTTTTACTCTGGGTTTCTCCATTTCCTTCCAGTTGAGAGCAAAAATATGTTTGGTCTGTAATAAACAAAACATTACAAGCTTCTTTCTGTTTAAATTAACACTAAAGCTGTTGGGGAAGATGTATAGTACGCAGAGTTTACAATCCAATGGCTTCTCACATTCAATTAAATCTGAACATATACAAAAACATGCTACAAAACCATACACAAACCTGGTGAGGTGTGCAATAGGTTCAATACCAGGATGTACACTAATTATGTTGTGATTTTTTCTTAGTGAGAGCTGCAGAGAGCAAAGGTAAGGGGGGACCAGTGCATAAAAACAGAACTGAAACCAGTTAGTCATTTGAATATGTTATTTTTGGCAAATATAGCATTTTCAAAACAATAAAAAGTAACATGGAGATCTAAATATGTTAAGTGTTAGCAGCTAATAATCCACAGAAGTGTAATACCTCCTCTTTAAAGTCAAACACTGATACCTGCATCAACTTGAAAGGACAGTTCAGAATTTTGGACATAGGAGCTCATTTCCTAGTGAGCCAGAGTATTGGAGACGTGTGGAGACACTTTTTAAAATATTCCATCCTGTCCTTGTATTTGCAAAGGTCACTGGTGCTAGGCTAGTGTATGTCAATGGCCATAGTTAGCCTGCAGCTAAAAACAGTCTTACCCACTCCACAAAACACCCGAAGCAAATCTATTATTACACCAGACTGTCCATGTAAATGTCTGTGTCGATAGAATAATGTTTGAAATAAAACTAACCTTGCACTGCATGAATTGTTGCATGTTGAGGGACTATTTTCACGTATATCAGTCCGCCGCTGCCAAGCTTTCTATCAGGAAGTACAACTCACTACTGCTGCTGCTCAGACATAAATCCTTCAAATGCAAGGTTGGTTTTACTTCTAAAATTATTCTATCGACAAAGCCATTTACATCGACAGTCTGGTGTAATAATTGTTTTGCTTTGGGTGTTTTGTGGAGTGGGTAAGACTGTTTTTAGTGGCAGGCTAACTATGGCCATTGACATGCACTAGCCTAGCATCAGCGACCTCTGCAAATACAAGGACTGGATGGAATATTTAAAAAAGTGTCTCCACAAATCTCCAACACTCTGGTTCACTAGGAAATGAGGCCCTATGTCCAAAATTCTGAACTGTTTACTCTTTAATATTTTTCTTCACTGTTCACCAGGGGAGTGTGACGATGTTTTCATTTGGACAGCAGTTCTTTTTTCAAGCAGTAGAGGCCGCACGTTCCTTGTATTATATGAAAGGTTCTAGGTGTACAGACAAGAGGGCAGTACCTTATCGTCGGGCCAGCCCCCCCTCTGGCGGCCCCTCCTCCTACGGCCCCAGCACAGGTAGTCCAGCTCTCTGACCGGGGAGAAGCCCAGCAGAGTGTCCAGCTCCGGGCTGCCCATGAGACGTGACGAGGGCATCTCCACCTCCAGACGGTACGACAGGTTTCTCAGGGTGCACACGCTGTTCTCCACGATCTGAACACAGGGGGGCCAGACAACAGGTTAACTATACACATGTCCTTGCATGAAGAACTGCAGGTGCATTCCTATTCATGAATGACAATTTACATATGTTTGTAGATTAGTCTCATTATATAAATGTCTTGACAGCAGACTGCATATACATCCGTGTATCATTCATCAATTTGTTTTTCGATATAAAACCAAAAATAAGAAAATGAAAAAACTCCTAATTTCTTCATTATTTGTCTCCAAAACTAAAATGAAAAAACGGATAACAATTTGTTTTTTCAGTTTTCGATTTTGTGTTTAAATGAATAATGGAAAAAAAACGGATAACAGATGTTTCTTAAATTGCAATGCTGGACTTTTGCGCTGCATACGGACTGAATCAGGACTAAAACTGAACTAAAACAGGACTACAGACCAGGACTGAGACCAGGAGTTAGACTGGACCAGACCAGGACTGAACCTGGGACCAGACGAGAACTGAGACCAGGACTGAGACCGGGAACAGGACCAGGACTGAGAACAGGACTGAGACCGGGACTGAGACCAGGACTGAGACCGAGACCAGACTGGGACAAGACCAGGACTGAAAACAGTTTAGTCCTGGTTCAGTCTGGCATTGCAGTTTAAGTCAGTCTGTTTTTTTCTTTTATTCATTTAAACACAAAATCGAAAACTGAAAAAACAAATCATTATCCGTTTTTTCATTCTGATTTTGGAGACAAATAGTGAAGAAAATAGTTGGTTTTTCGTTTTCTTATTTTTGGTTTTATATTGAGAAATGAATGAAAGAATGATACACAGATTCATACAATTTATCTGCTAATTATTTTTTTCTATTAAAATATTTTTAATCATATATTACTTATGAAGGACCTTCCACCACATATATATATATTAAGGATGTAACGATATCCAAATCTCTCAGTACGATATTATCACGATATGCATCTCACAGTATGATTTTTACTGCGATATTATGGATATTGGCTGATATAATTGTAGATAGGATACTTTTTTGCTTTTAAAATACCCTGAAAAGGTTTTGGTGTGAATTATTACTGTCATAATCCCAAGATTCAAGTAAAAAACACATTACTTCATGTTGTCTGCACTGAAATGAATCATGGGATATGTAGTTCCCGATGTTTATTAGCTATTGCAGCTGTAAAACCATGCATTTAATCAAAGTAACTTATGATTCAATATATTGTGACAGCCCACGATATTACTGCGAGACATTTGATGATACGATATCCCTAATGTACAGGGTTAGGTGGTTCTTTGGTTGCTGTATTTGTTTTTAGTGTGGGGCTTTTTGATTAAAGGTCCTGTCCCTGATTTTCCTCATTAATTTGCCCTTGTACAGGAAATAGGAAACATTTTATTATCCGATAATCAGAAAGTGTACGTTAGCATTCTAGTTGTTGTTCATTTAACCGTTCCCGGAAAACTCCAGTGCTTAGAAACTCATTATGGTGAATAGATCGGCAGTAACGAAAGTAAAAATCCAGTACAGCGCTTTTAACATACATAATTAGTTTTTTCTATTTAAATAATTCATGTAATTCAGATCAATCAATTCAAAATATGATGCTGCCTTTATGGACTGTAAATGGTTCGATGGTTCTTTGGATGTTGTATTTATTTACAATGGGGCTGTTGCTTTGAATTCAACAGTTTCATTATTAAAAATTTGTATCTGTATGTACTAGAGAATTTAGTTTTGGTCACACAAAATCTTTATAGTGTATGTTTTGTTTTCATTCATACATGGAGATAATATTGACTGTGATTATGATTTAAATTCACACTGTAGTCTGAGAGAGAGTATATGTGAGGTGTATGTGTGTGGGCACCTTGCTGTCATAGTCTGTGGTGTTGCTGCAGGCCCGCAGCACCTGCAGCAGGGAGTCCACCAGCCCCTCGCAGCTGCGCAGCTGGCTCCTCGCCTCCTCCCCCGCTGAGCTCAGGTTCCTACACACACGCACACACACACACACACACAAAACATAAACATACAGGTAATGTAAAGAGCACTGCAGTACACACATTGTCCACACGAGGGACCCAATCCTGCCCGGATACAGCACCAGGGGGACCTCCTCCAATCAGAGGCCGGCTGAGCTGACAGCGGTCCTCTGAGCACGTGCATGGTGCAGGAGGAAAGGACCGGGGCGGCTTTGGGCTCGTTCCATCAACTCTCAGATCATGAAAAAGATGTAACAATAACGGATCTATTTGTGTCTGATCTCAAAATAGACACACTTTCTAATCCTTTTAGATGGTATATCTTTGGTGACATTACATGACTTGAAGGTTCTACCAGTTCTGGTGGGGGTTCCTCCATCTGCTTGTCTCTATAGCGATGTTATATCCTTGCCTGGAATGTTCCACAATATGACATTAAACTTATCTAGCTCACATTTAATCAATTAGAGTTGTTTTTATTGCTGAAAAAGTTAGCTCATGATCTGGTATTTTTTGGTATTTATATGAAAAAAGTTATGATTCACAAGTTTATTCTGTCTTTTTATAAATACATTTACTTTTTCTGCATAAATAGCTATTTTTGCATGAACCCTCAAGCAGGTGTAGTCTTCTGCAGTTTGGGTCAGATACACAGAGATATGTAATAGTGTGAGAGCTTTTACTGCGCCCCATTTTTAGTCGACTAATCTATTGGCAGGACATGTCTTTAGTCAGCTAAGGATTTCTTGGTTTTGGAATAAAGATTACTCAAACATGCAACTTCAAGTGTGTAAATGAGAAAGGAAACAATTATAACATGACTAAAAGCTCTGAAAAGTCAATTTTGCAGAATAGGTTGGCTTTAAAATGTAAAAGTTAAAGGTTCAATGTTACGCAAAATTCACTCTTGTGAGCTTTAAGCTATGTTAGAATGTTGTACCCTCCTCAAAAACACACCTGGAGTTGTGTTTTGTTTCAGTCAGACATTTCATTAACCTTTTATTATTAGTTAAGTTGTTGTTATTAAATGCTCTGATCTCTCTTGCATGTAGTGGTAGTTTTCAAATTTAAGGCTCCCTTTTACCTTTTGTTCAGTAGAGATTGGCAAAACCAGGCCTAAAATGATAAACCAAATATTCTAGTGAGGGTGTATGTAGTTTAAACACACAGTGGAGCACACATGACATCACAAGGTGGAATAGAATGTTTTCAGTCTGGATATGCATAGAGAGTTTGTGCATTAAACATGTGTGAATGTAACAAAACACAACTCTAAATGTGTTTTTGATGAGAAAACATTCATAGAAGAGAAAATAGCGTAGTATGAGCTCTTTACAGTGTACTCCAGGTGCGTTCGCTGACCTGAGGCAGCCGGTGGTGTTGCGCAGCAGCAGGGAGGACTGGAAGCGGCCCCTGGTCTGCTGGTCCCGGTGGGCGGAGCTGCTCCAGCCCGAGTGAGGGATGACCACCGTGTTGGTCAGAGTGGACAGAGCATCTCGGATGATGGTCATCTTCACCGCGTCACAGGAGGACAGGTTCCAAAGGACACCTGGTGCACAGGAGAATTCTAAGGTGAGCGCAGACTACACCCAGACCACTGCATATCCCGAAGAAACTTTAAAAATATTAACTGTATAATGGGGTTCAGCATCATTTTGTACTTAAATAATTGAATATATGTAGTCATGTGATCCACAATATCACTACACAATCTATTCTCTTACAAACCCAGAGCAGAGACCTGAAGTAACACAAGAGGGCAGCAGTGAGAGGGCACACAGTGGTACAGCCTGGTACAGCTGTATGTCCCACTCACAGTACACTGTCTGATGCCCAGAGCGACTTGCTCACAGATAAATGGTGTTTGATTTTATTTTACATTAATGGACCTGTACCTTATTTCTTCATGTAATAAAGTTTGGTTTTGGCAAGTACATTGTTAAAGCAGCTCTTCAGGTCAAAGTGAGACAGCTGTGTCTGCACAGAGCATTCCCAGACCAGCCGAGAGACATAGTCTCTCTAGTGTGTCCTGGGTCTTCTCCCAGGGTCTACTTCCAGTGGGACACGCCCTGTACACCTCTCCAGGGAGGTGTCCAGGAGGCATCCTGAACAGCTGCCCAAGTCACTACATATGGCTCCTCTTAATGTCCTCACCCTGTCTCTAAGTGAGGGCCCAATCACCCTACAGAGGAAACTCATCACTGTCACGACATTCTGGTTTCTCAAAGTGAAAAGTGCTTATAACCTCATCTTGGTGAATAATTAGGACATCACATGTGCCTTAGGACAGTGGTGAATAACTTTAGAGGCTGCAAACTATTAAAATGAACTAGTTCTGTTGTTTACATTTTCACAGTAAAAACTAGGTACACCTTTATCTTGCATTTAATTGCTCAAGAAATTGTATCTTTCCAGTCCCAGTCCTAACACTTGCTTAGTGCGGTAACCATGGTGATGAGTAAGTTGAATATAGAATGCTGTGTGAGTGGCACCTGTGACGAGCTCGCGGACTTCGTTGTCTGTGGTCTTCCTGAGCAGGCGCAGCAGAGCGGGGACCCCCCCACAGTTTCTTAGGGCCACCTTGTTGTTGTCTGTGGCCTTCCCATACACCAGGTTCCTGAGGGCCCCACACGCGCTCTTCTGCACTTCCGATACCTTATGATCCAGCAGGTCCACCAGGTGCTGAATACCCCCCAAGTGACAAACCTGAGGACACAAAACACAGCTAAAGCATGTGCTCCTCTGTGATGTGTGTAGGGGGCGCTCACCTCCATCTTGACGCGGTTGTCCCCGTAGCACAGGTGCTGGAGGTAGGCTGCAGCGTTGGCCTGTACTGAGGGGAAGTGGTGCTGCAGCATGTGGATGACCTCAGGGAGCTCCGGGTCTCTCCACGCCAGCTCCCTGGACAAAAGAGAAAAGAACATTAGATTCGTGTGGGACATGCCCTGTACTGCTGTGGCCAAACGCAGTGTTACCGGGGGTCCTTGTGGATGCTCTCAATGCTGGGAGTGCGAGTGGCTCCTCGGTCCAGCCCTGACAGTCTCTGTGAGTATGGCTCTCTGAATGTGTCCACGTAAACTCCCCCAGAACTCAGGCCATAGCTACTGCCCCTGTAGGGCAGGGTCCCACTGTGGGGGAGGGTCCCAGCATGGCTGCTGGCCCTGGGGAGGGTCTCCAGACCTGAGGGCCAGAAGCCATATGCTTCAGTCTTCACAAGAGCACAACCTAAATACATCATAATCTATTTTAATGAAGAGGCTGCAGTACCTGTGTTGTTCCTGTAGAGGGAGCCCTGTGGGTCATGGCCTGGGCTGTGGTACAGGGGGCTCTGGAAGGCTCTCTCGTCAAACACTGGGGTCATGGGACAGTCAGGGGACAGAGCGGCCCTCAGCTCTGGGTCCATCTGAGCAGTGTGGGCCCCATAGGAGCTGTGGAGGCCTGCACACAAGAGGAGGAGTCACACACCTGGTTATGAACATGTACCATAGCACACAAGTGTGTCCTGGGGGATTGTACTGACCAATGAGGCTGTCGGGCCGGGGAAGAGCGTGGTGCTGGTACAGTCCGTAGGGGTCAGCTCCGTAGGCCAGAGACTGGCTCTGTCGGGGGAGAGTGGACGTGTAGTGCTGGGGCACTGCCGTCATCCCGGAGCGCAGAGGGGACCCCAGCCTGCCCTCCACCAGAGACAAAGTAGAGCCCAGCCGGGCCCCTGAGCCCAGGACAGGGTCTCCGGGGGAGGGGGGTGAGGGACAAGAGGGGGGCATGGTGGTCCCCGGGAACACTGCAGACAGAGGTTTGGGCTCAGACAGGATGGGTGAGTCGTAGGTGCTGCCCTGGGAGGTCCGCAGAGACACGGGACGGAGACACAGGACCACAGCCCGGAGACTGGCCCCTGGACGGGACTGAGGACATCCTCCTGAGGACACGTCCAGAACCCTGGGACAGGGGAACAGACAAGGACACAGGGGCAATGGGACATTACATGTCTTGATATTGTTTTGTTTTGTATTAGGACACAGTTTCATTGGAGCAGAGCAGAGCAGACCTGTGCAGAGGCCTGTCCCTCGGCTCGGGGGCTGCGGGACACAGAGCGCACCACAGTCTGGCTGTAGAAGCTGTCCTGGTACCCACTGTCTGAGTATGAGGTCATGTGGGCCGAGTGTCCCCCGGAGCCTGAGGGCAGAAGGCAGAGGTCAGGGGTCAGTCTCCTCTCCTACAGTGTACAGTACACACTGTGCAGGAGTGAACAGAAATATATGTGTAAATGTGAGTGTGGAGCCCTGACCATCACTGTCATGCAGAGAGCCGCGGTCTGGATCAGGCAGGAACAGAGCCTCCTCTGGCTCTGCAGCTGCTCCTGGGCTCCCCAGGGCCTCCATGGGCCCCTGGGACTGGCCTCCTGCACAACATAGCATTATGAACACACTGTCATGAGCTTTATACATTTATAACACAGTGAAGAAAATGTGCTTAAAAGTACGTGTGGACACATAAATATAAATACAATCATTTTACCTGCTGTCCTCCATGCAAATGACTTCTCTGAGGAGCTTCAGACAGACAAGAGAAAGGACAATTCTAAAACATGTGCAGAACATTGAAACTTTCACTATGTATTATTATGATTATCATGATCTAAAGCTAAGATGTCTGGACTTCCTTGAACATACACATGTTATCTTCTTATACATTAATCCCCTACATTATAAGTACATGTATGTACCTGCTGCTGTCTGCAGCGGGGGACTCTGCTCCCAGCATGCACCTCTCCAGCTGACTGGCCACCATCTGCCTCTCCTCCTCCAGCTCTCGGGTCAGCCGCTCAAACTGCAGCTCCTGGTCAGAGATGAGACACAGACACAGTAACAGTGAGCAGGATCAGTCAGACATATTCAGTTTCATAAACGCATTAGAAACATCCTAGTGTCAAGTGCAAGTCTAAAATAAAATCTCACTAATAGGATTCAAACGGTTGCCTATTTGGTTTGCGATTGTGGAGTTGGTGTCTCTACATAAAAGCTTATTGTATTTGGGTCAGAGCTGGTCATATGATGAGGAAAGCCTGGGTTATCTCCTCACTGAAAGAATCCACTCTAACTCTATATAGGCCATAGAATCACTCAAAAGCACATTCAAACACCACCACTCCTCATTTCATAAAACAAAACAATATCACAAATATCATAAAGCAATACTAACTTATAAATCATGATAAATAATAGACATTCAGGATTTAGGGACCAGTGTTGCTGTTATGGAAACTGTCCACTAGCTCAGGTATTCTGCTTGGACTGTTGCTCCCTGAGGGCTGTTCTGGTCGATCTGGTCTTGGACGGGCTGGTGTGAGCTTCAGTGTGGATGTAAAAATGAAGAGGGCCTATTATGTGATCCACTTGACAAATTTCTTTTCATTTTGATAGAACTGAATTACTGGACTCATGTTTTTCAAATCGTGGAGTGGCTCAGTGTTGATGAAATACAAAAATCAAACATAATTTTATTAGATCACAGTTTTAGGAGTGTTTTTAGACATATCCTGGTTAGGTTCTAGACTGAGCTTGGTTTAGTTTAGCTGTAGATCTGGTTTTGGTCTTGTTCTGCTCTGATTTAGTCCCAGTTGAACCGCAAAACCGTCCAATTGTAGCTTTAAAAGGAAATGTTTTCACTTAGGAATTTCCCGCAGTATGGCATTAAACATTAAATTATGGCATTAAATTAATCTATTTTGCATTTATTCAATTATAAGTGTTTTTATTGTTCAAAAATACATAGAAAAACATGTATTCTTACTTATTAGTCACTTCCCAACAGATCTGACCTGTAAACTGCCCTTGTAGCATCTGCTGGTCTCAATCGACATAGAGAAGATTAATGCCACACTGCGGGGCATTGCAGGCAAAGCAACAGTAGCTCAGTTGGTAGAGTGTTTGTCCACTGATCAGAAAGTTGGAGGTTCGAATCCAAGCTCTAGAAATAAAACATCTATTGGCCCCAGCATTGGCAGTGTCATTCCAGCTCCCCCAGGTGAATAGTATCGTTGTGTTTTTGGCAGTGTGGGGAGTTTTTAAGTTGGGGTTCGTGGTTTGTGACGTCATCCCCCCAATAGCACGATGCAGAATCATGTTATTAACATTAACATCATTCATAATCACCAAAGGAACATAAAGCATAGACTACAACACATGAACCAGGACTGAACCAGGACTAAAACAGGACTGAACAGGACTAAAACAGGAATAAACCAGGACTAAAACAGGACTGAACAGGACTATAACAGGAATAAACCAGGACTAAAATAGGACTGAACCAGGACTAAATCAGGTCTAAACCAGGACTAAACCTGGACTAAACCAGGACTGAACCAGAACTGAACCAGGACTGAAACAGAACTACACTAGGAATAAACCAGGTCAAAACCAGGTCTAAAACAGGTCTAAACCAGGACGAAACCAGGTCTAAACCGGGACGAAACCAGGTCTAAACCAGGACTGAACCAGGTCTAAACCAGGACTAAAACAGGACTGAACCAGGACTAAACCAGGTCTAAACCAGGACTAAACCGGGACTGAACCAAGACTAAACCAGAACTGAACCAGGACTGAACCAGGACTAAAACAGGCCTAAAACAGGATTGAACCAGGACTAAAAAAAATGACTGAAGCAGGACTGAACCAGGTCTAAACCAGGTCTAAACCAGGACTACACCAGGACTAAACCAAGACTAAACCAGGACTATTCTTGGAGTTAGGGGAGAGAGAAAGAGAACTCTGAGCCCGTGGAGCAGGTGTCCACAAAGCGCAGTCGGGCGATGGCTGTGCTTAACCCCATTGGGCATGGAGCTCTGCGCTGGTCCTTACTCCTGAGGTCACCCAATGGTCTACATGGGCGCACTTCCGGTCCTCCAGTCCTGGTTCAGTCCTGGTTCCTCATGTCTCAGGTCACTATAGAAGAGTCCTGCAGACATCATGAGTCTGTGCAGTTTGTTTTCACCATTTCCACTAGCTCTGGATTGACATTTAAGGGGTAGTTATTTTATATTTGTTATTTTTTTATATCCAACATTGGGAGAAGTGGGTGGACGGCGTACTCCCACGTTCCACGCCCACTACACCCCTGTTTTTAACCCACCTCGGCTCCAGTGTCTGCGTACACTGGTGTATGAACGTGTGTGTGAATGTGTGAGTGGTTCCTTGATGTAAAGCGTTTTGAATGCCTTGAAGATAGAAAAGCACCTTTGAGATGTCTGTGAAATTATAAGAACAACTGTCTGCTATTCACACCTCTCTGTGATTGGTTGAATCCACCTGTCACTCACTTACAACACGACAGAGGCAGACCAGTAGGAGAAGAGCTAGAGCTGGATTCAACACAAAACCACTCCATTACAGTTCAACGATTCCTCGAAATGTTATATTTTTCTATTCTCCACTCCAAGACGTGTCACTCACCACGTATTTTGAGTCATATTTTATACAAACGTCTGTGTCATCCACCTCCACACCGTCAAATGAAAGACTCATCCGTGCTCCCATCTGCTACTGTCTACATTACTGTCTGACTGTCCTAACTTGTTCAAAAAGCAGAAGTTACTTTTCAAAAAGCTGTGGTGCAGTTGGTCGAGTCTTTTGCCCAGCCACCAGAGGTTAATCTATGTCAAACCCACTCAAGATCAATTTTCTGATATTTTCTGATCTTAGACTTCTGATCTTGCACTAGTATGTACGTTTTCTGCTCCTCTCCATGAAGATGTTATTGCAATGCCCAAAATATTTTCTGCAGTACGGCATTTTTATCTCCATGGAGACAGGAAAATTCCAGGCAAACCTACTGTTGACTCCACTGGTCGGGAGTAGCTGGAGGTGGAGGATTATAGTGTATATGGCTGATGGAGCAAACAGGAGCAGCACCCAGGCCCAGGAACAAATGACACAGTCTGTGGACAGATGGGTCAGGGTTGGACTCAGGGTTGGAGAGGATGTTTTTCTGTTGTCTCTGAGTAGGTGTTACAGTAGTGAGAGTAGTTCAGGTGTGTGTCTATCAAGCGTTATAAATGCACATTTTCCGCTGCAGTGCTGCCAACATACTGTCCTTCTCTAACACAAATGGAGTTATGCTGTGGCTTTCTACACCAAGTCTAAATGAGATCAGTCACCTACCTTCAATAAAAAGATAATAATAATACAGTCATAATAATAACGTAGACTATTCCAGTCAGTCCAGTCTGTGCAGAAGTTTGCATGTGTCGGACTGCGCGTGAGGAGAGTACCTGCTCTTTGACGGACGCCAGCAGGTTGGTGGTGGTGGTCACGGTGGCAGTGCTCGGGGCAGACTGGAGGCTGGGACCGCTTGGCCCCTCCCTCGGCGCCATGGGCCCCTCCCCCTCGGAGTCCCCCTCCTCCATGTCTTCCCTGTCGCGGCTGTAAGGTCCGGAGCCGGCCGGCCGCTCTGACCTGAGCACGGAGCACAGTGTGAGGATGTGGACATGACAATAGCGGTTCAGGCCGCGCACACAGGGGCCATGTTGTGTGCGCTAGGAGCGCTGCTACTGTAGCCTGTAATCACATGATGTTACATTGTGCCATTTTCCAATCTGAGCTCCGTGCACAGTGCGTGGTCACGGCGGAGCGCTGGCCTATCGCCTCCACCCGCTCCTGTTCACGCGCACAGGCTTCGGCGCGGGGCTAAAGACAGTGGGCAGTGTTTGCCATCTTTAATCCTGTGCACAGTGCGCGTGCAGCAGCCGTGTTGTGTGCAGCAGAGCGCGCTGTGGACGCAGCGCACAGCGCACCTGCAGGTGCATGCAGCACGGCTCCATTATCACCGTGTCACGTTCTGTCATTGGCCCTGGCACCTCGCGCCAATAAAGAGTGGGCGCCGGTCAAACGTCCAGAGGCGCGTGCACGGTCCGGCGGAGGACCCCCGGAACACTCACCAGATGTTTGCAGAAGCAGGCCACAGCTGGATCCACGGTTACGCCTTCATCCCCCCTGGGTGCACGAGCTCACCGCGGCTACATCGTCCACGCGCCGCGCGGCCAAACACAACAAACGTCTCCGCGCTCCTCGTGCAATATTCGTGATTTATTCCCTGTCTGTCACTACGCGCATGCACGTCTGCTCCTGGCGCTCACAGCATCCGCCCAGCCAGTCAGCGATCAGCGCCGTGACGTCACCATGCGGCTATGGATTCAATTGTCGGTAGATAATCGATGGGCTCCTATGGCTCCGATTCAGCGGGGCGCGTTCACTTGGAGGGCGCGAGAGAAGCCTCCAGGACGGAGGAGTGCGCATCTCACGAGCCGGTCATGTGCGCAGTGACGCCGGATCACCTGCCGCTAAGAAAACCTGCTCGTGCCACTCAGCAACATGGAAACAGTCACACACAAGTCCATGTGGCCCTGAAGACTCCGGAGTCACTTACGCCCATTAACTGAGCCATAGGTGAAGAAACATTCACCTGAACCTGAAATGATCCGTGCGTCATGACGCATGTGATGTATTATTAGATCCTATAGTTTATTCTTCTCATTCTTTGGCAGACTGTTGGGGCTGCAGCCAATCCCAGCCTCTAGGGCCCAACACAAGTGTTTGCAAACAGGAGGAGAGATAATAAAAAGCCTTTTAAGTTTATTTCCATTGGTACCTTCCTGGTTTACCTTTTTTTCCCCTTTTTTTAAATGAAGTTCTAGTGTGCCCTGTACATATATTATAAATAGATATAGATATTAAACACCTGGGTTTTTATTCATATAGCTCTGCTGAGTCTGGAGCTTAGTGGCAAAACTTTCAACTTGTAATCAAAGGGTCTGTGGTTTGATTGTGGGAGATTTTGGCCTTTAAAAAAAAAAAAAAAGCAGAATACTGTAGGGCCAGACACTAGGGGCAGACGATAAGGCCAGACAATGAAGCCAGACTCCACCGGCGAAACCTTTTGTGACATTGTTTTTTAGTTTGTTCTGCTGCCATAGAAACTGGCAGGCTGTACTTTCTCTGAAAGGCAGAGTCCTATAACATAAACGTCTGTCCATCTGTGACTCAGAAGAAAGCCCTAAACAATCCCGTCCATCCTGGATAACCCTGTACTCTGTGCACAGCATCAACATCAGACAGAGAAGCATCCTGTCTGCTCCACAGGATTTAGGTAAGTAATGTGTAACTTTCACCTCCATTGCCATGGTAATAACATGTGTGTCACTTCAGAACTGAATTTTGACCCTTTTTTTCTCACTAATTTCAATTTATATAGTAATAAAAGAGCAATTTAGATGAAAATGTTGTCCACTGTGTGTAAATATTGATTTAGTGGTGTCTGCTGTGGAACTTTCATGTCTGTTGCCATATGAAGACTGTTCAGCTCTACACCACTGTCAACAAATGAACCACAACCCCCCAACCAACAACCCAAACAGGACACAACCCAATACTGGACACACTTGTGACTTTTTTTTCTTTTGTCTGTACTGATACTGTTGTGGAAATATATTTATATTATCTTGAAGAATAAATAATGAATCCATTTGCAAAGCCCGGTGAGTTATTGTACAGAGAAAGGTTTATTCTGTTACAAAAGACATGGACAGGGCCTGGACCTGCTCTGGCCACAGACCCACAGCCTCTCGGCGTTTTCCTCCAGTCTCCTCTCGTGTCCCTGTCTCCAAGTGTCCTCTCAGTCTCCTCCAGAGCCTCTGACCTCTGATCATGTGCACCAGAATGACAGAGATAAACACACTGAAGCAGAGGGACTTTAGTTTCACAGACATGTGCCTCAACTTTTACACCAGAAACACAGAGAGCTTCCTGAAGTCTGGACAAGTGTCTGCTGACCGTTTGCACATGTGACTGATGCTCTGGTCTCAGGCAGAAATCACATTTATTTACACAAATATCCATTTCCATCACTGTACTTTGCAGTGACATCGCACTGGGGATTACTACATGTATCTGTATGGCGAAATGTTCATCACTGTGTTCACTGTTACCACGGTGACAGAGTGCACACATTAGCAAACATATAAATTGGATTTAAAGAGCACATTGTCAGGAGTCTGTGATCAACACGACTGTACATGGTCCTGTTGAGGAGTTTGATTTTCAACCAAAAGGTGAGAGAGAAACTGTTGGCCAAAGCACAAACCATCACCTGTTGTAGTTTCAACAAAATCAGCTCTTTGTGTTCAGATTGTGTTCAACAAAACAGATTCAAGTCTAACTTGAGTAACAGAGCTTCAGACAGAGCAGTGTCTACATCATGACATCAGCTGCAAACTATCACTAAATAAAGTGAAATAATTCAATGAATAAAACGATCAAAGTGATTCAAGGAGTTAGCATCACGTGTTTGTTTTGCTGCTGGAGTGAGGAGAGCGCCTCCCACAGGACATCAGGCTGAATGTCTCTTTTAAAACGGGACCCTGTGCTCCATGTGGTCCTTGTGCACCTGCCAGCTCCATAAAGAGCTGAGGTGTGCACCTGTCATCTCTGAGCATGTTTTGACTCTGTTGTTTAGGTTCTTTGTGTCTTTGACAAACCAAGAAGCCAAACACAAAGCTTCAGTGTGACTCTGCCTGAGCCGCATGAGCTGCACCGGTGCATCTCTAATCATGAAAGAAAACACTTTGTGCTTTTGTCTGTATGTAGTTATAAGCTCTGACACCTGTGGCTCTTTATGTTCTCATTTAGACATTTTAAAGCCACACTATGTCACTTTATAGCCAAAAATTTAACTTTTCATTGTGTTTTTTTTTTTATTTCACTGAAATACAAATCACTCCAAATACAGTTTCAGCAGGTCAGTGAGAAGAGGAACTTTAATAACCTACTGAAACGCTTTGAAAAGTCCATTTTGCAGAACAGACACACCTCACATAATGACAGTACAGTGTCAGCCTCTGTCGCCCTCTTCTGGACACATGGCACACGCACAGTTCATCCTTAGTTTTTCCTTGTTTTATTTGGATCATCTGCTCTGCGTAAAGTGAATCAAACAGAGGAGGTAGAGGCCTTATGTTACTTATTGTTTGCAGTAGATTTGCTTTGTTTCAGAATAAATACTGACTCACATCAGTTTGCAGTGTTTCTGTGAGCCGTGGACAGGTCCGAATCCTCACGTGGACTTTTCTGTGTCACTGTCACATTTTGTTGACCTGGTTTATGGTTTATGTCTCTGTAATTACTTCCACTATCCACACGAAACAAAAACTCACACAAAGTCCAATGTCTATAACCAGTGTATGGATGAAAGGTGAATCTCCCATGTTCTGACTTTTCTGTTTCTTTTATTTATTTATTTTTTAATATTATCATTTTGTAAAGAAGTGTGTTTTGTTTCAAGCACATGTTTAACACACAAACCCCGCAGATTTAGTAGTGGGAAGTTGCTCAGTTAGGGTCAAAAAACACACAGAAAACATGTCACGTTCGATTAACTCCGATCTAATGAAAACTTTACTTCAAATATATGTTGTAATAAGGGGGTTATGTACCACTGGGTCAAATACTATTTTTTGATTTTAAAGTTATAAAACACATTTCTATAAAGGTTCAACACGCATCAGACCAACTCTTGGCCTATTCAGTGATGATACCACCAGTGTGAAACCTCATCATCAGGTGACTGAAGTAAGAAACAATGCCAAAGGTTGCGTCTCATTTACTTTCCTCGCTTCCTTCTCCTTGAATCCTCTCCTTGATGCTGGAGGAAATGGGTGAGGAAGTCCCGCCCACACAGGAAACACAGGGAGGAAAGAGGACATAAACTCCACACTGAGACCAATAAAGTTTGATTCTTTTCTCTGACGTCTGCTCCTGAAGCCTCCCTCCTGTTTACTCCTTCCTTCCGAGGTTTTCTTTAGGACGACGCTTAATATGACCCATGATTGACAGTTGAAAATGGAGGATCGAGAGGAGGAATCAAGGAGAAGAAAGCGAGGAAAGAGAAATGAGACATGGCCCAACTGTCTTACCTTTCCCTCCTTATTGTGTGATTCGAATCAGTCTTGGAACCAAAACTGTGCAAAACTGAGCATGGGTCCCATTGACTTTTCTGATCTTTGGCACATAAGAGAATTATCTATTATTATAATTTTCACTACTTAATGTCAAAGTAATTTTTTTCTAGCCATTGTAAACTTCATGCAGTCCTCCAGGGGGCGCTCTGGCATAGATCATTGTGTTTGACATATGAATGTAATGAGTGGCAGTCAGAGTTTATGTGATTCAAATTTCAGCACAGTCAGTTTAAGTATGTTGTTGTCGTCATTGTTTTAGGAGTCCTCACGCTCCTGTTGGCAACCGTGAAGAAGGCTTCATATCTATAATATAATTTTTTGTATCTTGTCACATTTACATTTTGATCCCAAAGTTTTGTACAAATCATGTTGACATATCATGTTTGTGGCATTCCCCAGCATGATGTCATAATCTCCAACCTGAAAGTCAAATCTGAAATCTGCCAAAAAACTGTCATTTTGATGATGTCATAATTTCAGATGAACTTTTATTTTTGCCAGAAAGGATCCAACTGTATGATACAGTAATTAACCACACACAAGGTCCATGCATTTTTATCTTTATCAGTTTATCAGTTATTATTCTTCTTTTACACAATCGACTCTTGACATTGTAACGTGACATGAAACAGTCTGTGGGTGTTTCTCAATTCCCAGGATCCTTCCTCCAAAGACCAGTCTGGAGCTCTCCTCCAGTCGGCTCCTCTGAAGCAGAGCCGAGTGTCCTGCACTGGAACAGGCTCAGAGGGAGCGACTGCGCCATGTCACGTGAACAAATCAAACACAATAAAACACAGAGTTTTGATGATAAACATGAATGCTTCTACAAATGTCAAGTGTTCAGAGGTGCTTTTGTGTGTCACATGCAGTAAAACATGTGAATAACAAAGGCTGAATGAATCATCTGTTACTGAGTTGTTTAGGCTGATCATTAATCTACAGAAATAAATGCACAGGCTGACACATTTTCAGGTGATAGGCTAAATGTATTCCCGATCCCTTTCTTTAAGAGATTCTGCTGCATTTGTCCTGATTTGATTTGATCTGATAATAGTATGATCTGTAGCAAAGTGGCTAAAATAGCAACATATTTACTTCTTTTTTGTATGTAATGAGTTTGATTTCATTAAAATGCATTTTACTGCTTAAATAAAGTTTCTAAAAAAGAAGCTGCAGTGCATTGTGGGCAATTTCAAGTGCTCCGATATGGCCAAGGGTCCACCCGTGCATCCTTAGTAAAAGAGCCAAACAGAGGAGTCGAGCGAGGAGGACGTGAGGCTGGGAGGAAACTGGAACACCACTTGGAGCTCTGATGATGTGGATCTGTCCGAAGGTTCAGAAGCCGAGGATCCTGGCGACTGGGAAACTATGTCTCTCCTGTGTGATTTCTCATGTGTCTGTTGAGATTGGAGCGCTGTGTAAAGCGTGTATTACAGACTGAACAGCTGTAAGGTTTCTCTCCGGTATGACTTCTCATATGAATATTCAGATACGAGCTCGAGGTAAACTGTGTGTCACAGACTGAACAGCTGTAAGGTTTTTCTCCTATGTGTCTTCTCTGATGATATTTGAGGCCAGAGGAATGAGTGAAATCTTTTTTACAGATGGAACAGCTGTAAGGTTTGTCTCCTGTGTGTGTTCTCATGTGACATTTGAGGCTAGAGGAATGAGCAAAGTCTTTCTTACAGATGGAACAGGTGCAGGGTTTGTCACCCGTGTGTGTCCTCACATGTTTGACAAGATTACTCTTTTGAATAAATGTTTTCTCACAGATCGAACAGCTGTAAGGTTTCTCGCCTGTGTGCGTTCTCATGTGATACTTGAGGCCAGAGGAATGAGAAAAGTCTTTGTTACAGATTGAACAGCTGTACAGTCGTTCACCTGTGTGTGTTCTCATGTGTTCTTCAAGGTAACCCTTCACAGTGAAGGTTTTCTCACAGACTGAACAGGCGAATGGTTTGTGACCTGTGTGCGTTCTCATGTGTACCGTGAGATGACTCTTCTGGGTAAATGTTTTCTCACAGATAGAACAGCTGAAAGGTTTCTCTCCAGTATGTGTTCCTTTATGATATATGAGGCTGGAAGAATTTTTGAAGTCTTTCTTACAGATTGAACAGCTGAATGGTTTCTCTCCTGTGTGTGTTCTTATGTGACATTTGAGGCTGGAGGAATTTGTAAAATCTTTTTGACAAATAGAACAGCTGAATGGTTTATCACCTGTATGTGTTCCCTTATGATATTTGAGGCTGGAGGGATTTGTAAAGTCTTTCTTACAGATTGAACAGCTGTAAGGTTTCTCTCCTGTGTGTGCTCTCATGTGGATTGCAAGATTACTGTTTTGAGTAAAGGTTTTCTCACAGAACGGGCAGCTGAATGGTTTCTCTCCAGTGTGAACTCTAACATGTCTTTGTAAATCATATTTAGACCCAAATCTCTTTTGACAAAAAGAGCACTGGTGCTTCTTCCCCTCAGCTCCTTCAGCTGTTCCATTGTCCACAGAGGTTCTGGTCTCTGGAGCACGCTTGGATTTGGGGGATTGACCTGAGTTTTGTGCAGTGGTTCTGATCTGGACTCTGTTGTGGTGAACTCCATCAGTCTCTGTCTCCATCTGTGCAGATGAACAGCTGAATGGCGCTGTCCTGTCTCCATCATTGTCAGAGGAGTGTTCAGTGTCTCCCTCAGTCTCTGAGTGGACATGTGTCTCTGAGCTCATGTCTTTTCCCTGTGTGTCCTCCCTTTGTTGACGCAGTGAGGATTCTTCAGTCTTCACACACACAGCACTGGACTCAGGGACACACCTGAAAAGAAATCAAATACACACACACAAAGATAAGTTCTACTAGTGTAATTGTGATCACACCAACATTTGTAGTTAGATGTGTTAAAGTGTTGGAGCCTCACACTTGCAGCTGCTCTTCGTCCTGTGTGACGCCCTCTTCCTCCGGTTCCTCTTTAATCTGTGGAGTCTCTGGGACTTCCTGGTTCAGACCAGGACCAGGACTTGGAGAAGGCTTCAGGACACCTGCAGGAGACAATGGGGGAGTAAAGGGGAGAACTCCTTTTTCTGTGAAATGAATGTTTTGTGAATTTGTCTATACTGGAGGATTAGAGGTTTTTATCCATTAACATGAAAAGTGTATGTATTAGTCCTAAAAGAAAATAAAAACATTTGATTCTCTGTTACTGTTAAACAAATACAAACAGTGATGTGGTTGCAGTCGTCCATCATCAGACCTCCAGCTCTCTCTCTGTTGAGCTCAAAGACACACAGGGGCCATGACCAAATGTTTTTCATCTGTACGTGATCTCACATGGAAATGTCCCATATTTGTTTTTAATACAGTTTGTCTCTGTAACCAGCCAGGAAATTTACTCCTTATTTTGATCCCTAGCTGCTTTCAAGTCCATCTTAAAAACATTCAGTGAGAATGTAGTGCCTGATTTTCAGAGGGTGATTTTGAAATGCTCTTTTAATGATAATTAAAAAGATAAAATAGAAATCTAGGTTTAACTGCAACAGTTACACTGCACTTCTCTGTCACCTTTGTATCTCAGTGCAGTTTAACAGGAGGACTGGTCAGGTAGGGTCAGCACATCCTGTGGAAGAGCAGTCTGAGGAGACTAACAGCCCTCTGGACAAAAGTGTCCCAGGTGAACACAACAGGAAATCCTCCTTTAAGACACACTGGTGATGAGATGGAACATTCCCTCCAGGTGTTTCTTCTGGAATGTTCTCTGTCATATTTGACGTAAAATCTCTGTAGCAAAGGGTCCTTTAAACTGCACATGCTGCACTTCATGGTTGGTTAAAATCCTAGTTAAAAACTGAGCTCCAAGCCCAAAGCATTTCCAAAATTGCTAGTGCACCTTTGGCAATTCATTTGGAAAGTACAGATTCCCAGAATAATCTGAAGATCTACCTTGTGACTACTTCTGATGTGAAGCACTTTTAGAGAACTTTTGCCATTTCTAAAATGATCCTCTGTCTTGGAGGACAGCTACCAGGGCTTCAACACCTTCAGTACGTTTTTGTTTCAAGAGTTATGAACCATAAACCAGGTCAAAAAAATTTGCTATCTGACTTAAACTGCAGGGATTCCAGACCCTTGTGATGTTATGCCTTTTGTTTGACTTCTCCATCGTCTCCAGGAAGGTTCTTTAGTGAATACTACGCTCTGTTTTTCTATATGATATATAGAGTATTTGCAGAGAGCTGTGAACTAGTGTTGTCCCAGTACTAACATTTCAAACTTGATTTCACTGCAAAGAAAGACTTCATACTAAATGCTGATTCTGATACCACAAGGATAATTACACTTTTAGACAACATTAAATTTTAGTACTTTTTCTATTCCCATGTGGCCTAGTCTATATGCTCTTATACTTGTTCTGATACAGCTCAAGATCATTCTAAAGCCATTCAGGAAAGCTTCATTTTTGTCCTGTCAATAGGACTCAATACCTGCGAAAAATGAGTATCTAGAATCAATACACATTTTAGTATCACTAGTATCTGATTTTCTACTACCTCGGTCATTTGTGCAGACAGAGAAGATTTTGGGTTTTACTGGTTTGGTTCCAAGTGGAAAATCTGAGTAATTACAGAGATATTAAACACAAGGCAGGTCCATGGAGTTTTAATCTTTACCATTTTGTTCTATGACAGAATTCCATCTCCATTGAAAACAACAACGTAACATCACATGAACACAGCTGAAAACCTTCTGTCTGGATCTGTCCGGCCTACGTCTCTCCTATGTGGTTTCTCAAATGTCTGTTCAAGTGAGAGCGCTGGGTGAACTGTGTGTTACAAACTGCACAGCTGTAAGGTTTCTCTCCTGTGTGATTTCTCATGTGTCTGTTCAGGTTCGAGCTCTGGGTAAAGCGAGCGTTACAGACAGAACAGCCGTAAGGTTTCTCCCCTGAGTGACTCCTCGTGTGTCTGTTCAGAGAAGATATCGAATTAAACTGGGTGCTGCAAACAGAACAGCTGTACTTCTCTCCTGTGTGATTTCTCATGTGGATTTTCAGGTAGGAGCTTGAGGTAAAGTGTGTGTTACAGACAGAACAGCTGTAAGGTTTCTCGCTTGTGTGTGTTCTCTGATGTACTGCGAGATTACTCTTTTGGGTGAAGGTTTTCTTACAGACTGAACAGCTGTAAGGTTTCTCTCCTGTGTGTGTTCTCTCGTGGTTTTTGAGGCTAAAGGGATGGGTAAACTCTTTCTTACAGGTAGAACAGCTGAAGCGTTTTTCAGCTCTGTGTGTTCTCATGTGGAGTTCCAGATAAAAACTTCGGGCAAATGTTTTGTGACAGTTTGAACAGCTGAATGGTTTGTCTCGTGTGTGTGTCCTCACGTGCACCGAGAGACTACCCTCCACCGTAAAGGTTTTATTACAGATTGAACAGCTGAAAGGTTTCTCTCCTGTGTGAACTCTAATGTGATTTTGTAAATTCTTGTTTCTGGTAAATCTCTTTTGACAAAAAGAGCACTGGTGTTTCCTGCTCTCAGCTCCTTCAGCTGTTCCATTGTCCACAGTGGCTCTGGTCTCTGGTGCACACTTGTATTTGGGGGATAGACCTGAGTTTTGTGCAGTGACGCTTCTGGCTCTGATCTGGACTCGGTTGCCGCCGTGGTCTTCATCATCTGAATAGCTGAATGGAGCTCTCCAGTCTTCATCATTGTCAGAGGAGTGTTCAGTGTCTTCCTCAGTCTCTGAGTGGACATGTGTCTCTGAGCTCATGTCCTCTCCCTGTGTGTCCTCTCTTTGTTGAAGCGGTGAGGACTCTTCTGTCTTCACACAAACAGCACTGGACTCAGGGACACACCTGAAAAGATCAAATTCAAATTACAATGTGACAGCCACAGGAAAATCCCATCCAAAAATATGAATCTCATTTCAATATATGTAAAAACAGAAGTAAACACTGTGCACAAGCTGAAGCCCCAGTGATCGTTTCAAAGGCGTATGGTGTATCTGCTGACACACCGACACACAAGAGTCTGGACTGTTGGAGCCAATAGTTTTGAAGTTGGTTTCCCTTTTCACTAAATTAAGTTTACGTCACGTTGCGAAGAACATGGCATGCTGGGTAAAAAGGTCTAGTGTCTTGAAACTTTACCATCGGCACGGGGAGAACACTTAACTTAGACATATAAATAAAGCCTAGGAACATTTTGTCTACATCTGCTTTTGTTTTTTGCTACAGGGTGGTTAAGTGTGAGTTCACTTCTGGGTCAAAGGAGCATCAGACGATTGAAAACAGTTTTCCTTTTTTGTAACAGCAGCACACACCATCTTCAAAAGTGTGATGTCCTCAATTTGAAACTGTCCATAATAGAACTTCCTGTAATTTTCAACATGTTTTTCAGCTTTTCTTCACAAATTGCTTCTTGATTAGTGTAAAGCTGTAATTTATATTTACAACAGGTATTATGACACCACATGAGGTCAAAATGAGAGAATCATCAGAACGTGTCTCCTGTAATCAGCGCAGTGTGAGGAGACCTGAAATCAGACACAGACACTCACACTTCCTCTGCTTCCTCTTTGACTCTTTCCTCCTCTTCCTCTTCTTCTTCTTCTTCTTCTTCTTCCTGTTTTATGCTCTCTTCTTCTGGCTCAGATTTGACGCTCTGTTCTTCCGGCTCCTCTTTAATCTGGGGAGTTTCTGGGATTTCCTGCTTCGGTACAGGACCGGGCTTCAGGGAGGGCATCTGGACACCTGCGGGACACAATGAGGGAGTAAAGGGGTGATTTGTGTTCCAGCTTTTACCTAGCCTGTTTCTTGGGGATGAGACACAATTTCCACAGGACAAGACGAGACCTGAGATTGGGTCCACGAGAACGAGACAAGACAAGACGAGATTTAAAAATAATTCCAAATATATAAATTTCACAATTAATTTACCAATTTTGGCCTCATTCTCTTTTATTAATTTGATTTCATATTTTGTTTCCATTCAAGCTGCTAGATGTTTTAATAATTTTTCAGTTGATAAAGTTTTAGAAATAGATTTTAAATAATATTTAAATATTATTTTTTTCAAAAGTCTATGACAAAAATGAAATTTAGTTTTGGAGCCTGGGGGTGGGTGGTCACTGTTGAGCTCCATTACACAAAATGAATTCTTGTCAGCTTTAAGACACATTAGAACATTGTTTCCCAAAGACTGGGTCGTGACCAAGAGATTTTTTTTTGGGGGTTGCCTTGTCACGATCTGCATGAAGGTCTGCAATATACAGTTCTGACACTGAAATGTGTGTAACGCTCTACACACTACAAAAACGCAGACATGTTTTGTATAATTTCTAATCTTTTAGTAATTATTTTATTGACTATTTTGTTCCAGTATTGCTGGTTTAATTGAATGTTGAAAAGAAAAAGAAATGGGCTACATTTAATGTCCAAATAGGCGACTTGTGGATCCTTTTATTGCTGCTTCAATGACAACAATAAAATATCCTCATTAATGTTCAATAATGCTCAAGTCAGATTGGTCAAAAATTTTAATAATCCTGTTTTAGTCCTGGTTTAGACCTGGTGTAGATCAAATTTCTTGTATAAAACTGTGACAAATTAGTGGGTTTTGAATAAATCTGCTGGGACAGGGGACACAGAGTTCAAAACTGGGACTGTTCTGAGTAAATAGGGACGTCTGCTCACCTTACACATGACATCACAAGTTGGAACAGAGTGTTTCCAGTTTAAGAACTCAGAACTCAGACTAAATATGCAGATTTTGTGTGTTAAATGTGTGAATGAAACAAAACACAACTCCAGGTGTGTTTATGATGAGAAAACAACATTAGAACACAGATCAGAGAGTAGTGAAGCACAGGCCTTCATGTCTGTGGACAGCTCTGTCGCTCACTCTTCCGCTGACCCAAGACGCGTCTCGGACTTTGGATAAACACTGTGCGTAAAAGCGGTAAGAAGACGCGGAGGAGAAACGGCACAGCGACCCATTTCTGCACGAACATCCCAGAATGCTAACGGTACCGCCTGGCTACATGCTACCACGACGCCGGCGCTGCGTTTTTTGCGTCAACAACCGAGCGACCCGCGTACCTGTCCGGGATCCCGCCATGTGCGCGACGTCCCTCCGGCCGCTCTCTGCAGCAAACGGACCGATGTCTGTGGCGCACGGAGCCAGACGAGACTGCGGCGCTGACGCTAACTACAATGCGCTGTTGTTGGGGTGTTGCGCTTCTTTCTCTTCTTGTGGATTTCCGACAGAGCGCAGACACACGGTGCGTAATGCTGCCAGACGCTGGTGATAAAAAGTTACTACACTGTGTTACGCGAAGATGATGTAGGTTATTACTATGTTTTAAATGCAGTAACGAAGTATAAAAGTAAAAGTACAAAGTTAAGTGCACATTTCAGGTACTTAAAGGTGCATTGTGGATCTTTTTTGGTGGAAAGTTGACATTAAATACGTCTATCTTGCATTTATTTATTACGAATGTTTCAATTACTCAAAAATACAATCATACATGCAGTAACGAAGCATAAAAGTAAAAGTACAATAGTTAAGTACACATTTTAGGTATCTGTACTTTATGCAAAGGTCCATTGCGTAACTTTTTTTTGGTGGAAAGTTGACATTAAACATCTATATAGCATTTATTTACTACAGATGCTTCAAATACTCAAAAATACAATCATACATGCAGTAACGAAGCATAAAAGTAAAAGTACAACAGTTAAGTACACATTTGAGGTACTTAAAGGTGCATTGTGGAACTTTTTTGGTGGAAAGTTGACATTAAACACGTCTATTTAGCATTTATGTATTACTGGTGTTTCTGTTGCTCAAAAATTCAATCATATAAGCAGTAACGAAGCATAAAAGTAAAAGTACTACAGTTAAGTACACATTTTAGGTATCTGTACTTTACGTAAAGGTGCATTGTGGAACTTTTTCTGGTGGAAAGTTGACATTAAACATGTCTATATACACATTATTTATTATGGATGTTTCAGTTGCTCAAAAATACAATTCTAGATGCAGTAACGAAGCATAAAAGTAAAAGTACAATAGTTAAGTACACATTTGAAGTATCTGTACTTTACTTTAAAGGTGCAAACTTGACTTAAACACGTTTATTTAGCGTTTATGCATGACTGATGTTTCTGTTGCTCAAAAATACAATCATTCTCTCTGTGAATAGCGTCGCCTCTCCACAGATCTGGCATGTAATGTAGCTGTAGTTGTCTCCCTTGAGAAAGATAGGGTTAAGCTCTACCATGGAACATTCTAGACAAAGCAATAACTTTTCCATAGAGACAATCAGATGACGGACCATCCATCAGAAAAGTTGCGCAATGCACCTTTAAGTAAGTTTTACAGTGGATACTTTTTACTTTTACTTCACTACATGTATCTGTACTTTCTACTCCACTACATTTTAGATCTGGCCCAAAAAGTAAAAGTACTTTGAAATGGCGGAGACTTTTTTTCTGTCCCAACTTTGAACAAAGGAATCAATGGGATCACTTAAAATCAGCTAAAATTGTTTTCAGAATCACTTCATTTTCATCCTTTAATTGTAAAAAAAAATCTCTGCAAAATACTTTTCACTCTTTAAGTTCATTTTTACTTACAGGTGCTTAAATACTCCTACTTATTTAGATGTTTTCACGTGATACTTTTAGTTTTACTTGAGTAACTTTTCACCCCTGTATCTATACTTTTACTTAAGTATCAACACTGAGTACTTCATCCACTGCTGTTCAGATGACATCATGGGCCTGGTTTAGTCCTGGTTTAGTCCTGGTTTAGTCCTGGTTTTAGTCCTGGTTTAGACCTGGTTTAGTCCTGGTTTAGTGTCCGGCAATGAGTGGAGTTACCGAAAAAAAAAAAAAAAAGAAAAAAAAAGAAAGGGAATAGCCCAAAATGTGAAAACAGGAAAATACCATAGTGTAATCCATTTATTTCAACAAAGTAACTGTAATCCAATTACCACTCATAGAAACTGTAACTGTAACTGAATACAGTTACTCATAATTTGTACTCTGATTACATAACTCCAGTACATGTAATCTGTTACTCCCCAACACTATTCATAAATGACACCAGTAAAACAACATAGTACATAAAAATGTCAATACCAAATGCATGTTTAAATAAGAACCTGTAACTCCAGACTGTTGTTACATTGTTTTTGATTTCATATTGTTTTTGTATGTTTTGAAATGTTACTTAAAACCAATAAAAATAGAGTTATAAAAAATTGTTTTTAAAAAACTGGCTCTGGCCGCCTTGTGGTGGTGTGACGGTATTGCATTCTAGAATCAGGTGCTTTCTAAGAATGTGAAAAGATCTGGTGCCGCGAAATCCCACGAGCCAAAACAGCACCAGTGCTATCACTCCTGCCAGTCTGGGACACTGGTTTGATTTAGGACTAAAGTTTACCACTAACCACAGCGTCATGACAGGTTTATTACCACTGAATTATGGTAACACAAGACTGGACAGGACACTACATCATTATACACCAGAATAAACACGTGTAAATGTTGTAAGAATTAACCACAGCTATTGATTTTACAAGACTATGTCACTGATTAGTCCCAACTCCACTCCACTGTCCCAGAAACTGTGATATGTTTTTGTCTAATTATGTGAAATAACAGCGATCATTCATTTCTTCCTTTCCGTACATCTTGTCACGGTCTGTAGAGCTTCTGCACCCACGTATCTTAAAACAAATCATATTAAACATGAGTGACCCTTACCTGGCATGGCTGTGATTTCAAAGACAATAGATCGTGTAGATTTTGCCTTAATTCTGCAATATCTGGACACCTTCTTATATCATCAGAAAATGTCCTTGGAGATGTTTGTGGTAAAATATCTTTATTATAAACCCTTGTACATAAAACATTTACTGATGCTGACAGTTTACATGAGGTGAAACTGACAGAATAGTGAAAATACAGTGTGCCCTGACTAATGTGCAGATGTTGTAGCTACATAGAAGCTAAATCACTCATTTAAATGGGATCGACGAAAATCACAAAAATCGTTGATTCAACTTTGGTTTGTGATTTTATTTTCTACAATCCACATTAAGACACTATTTAAAGTTAATCAACAAAACTATAGTCTCATAATGATTCAAAAACTGTATATATGTATTTATATATTTTTCGTTTTTAGTTTTTATGGGAGTTCTCTTCTGTCACTCAGAGGTTTGGAGGTGCATGCTGGGACAGTGTGACGACAACTGCAAGAGCTCTAATCCTCCTGTTTTGATGGACATTCTAAAGTTTATTTTGTTCATGCTCAGTGCGCTGTGGAAACTTGTTTAGATCAAAAAGTCTGTGTTGGGCCAGATTGAAACTGGTTTGTTTTCACATCACAAGAGATTTGCACTGGAGTTCACTTGGAACTGTACCGAGATCACCTCCAGAGGGTCGTTTGTTAGTCTGCACCAAATGAAACTGGTGCTTTCACTGGTGTCAAGTCCACTTGAAGAGGAACTAATGCGGGTGTGACAGCCTCCTAATACCAGCAAAGATTTAGTCAGTTAGTGCACTCTACACCACACCCTAATGTCATACAACAATTCATGGAATTATTAAAGCTGAAACTATAATCAAAATAATAAGCCATCACTTTTTACGTCATAAAATGGATAATTATATCTCCTTTTCAAGAAGCCTGCCCGATCAACCTAAACCAGTTCTTCATAAGAGTTTTCATCTGATAATTATGTGTGTGTTAGGCCTATAGCCTGATTGTGGTGTCCAGTTTGTACTTGTTGACAGAAAACACATGCCTGAAGCACCTAACAAATATTCACCTGAAAGAAGACACGATTTTGCCTGGAGTTGTATTTTGTTTCATTCACACACATTTCACACACAAACCCTGCATATTTAGGCTGAGTTCTCTTAAAAAGGAAACACAGGAAGTGCTCCACTGTGTTTTTAAACTCCATAGACCTTCACTATAATCATTTGGATGATTTCTGATCTGGAACTGAACCTTTCTACTGAACTGAAGATAAGTGGTAGCTGAAAACAACAGCTTCATAACATCACAAGGTGAAACAGAACATAATCCAATCTGCCCCTATAGATGTTTTATTATTTAATTCAATCAACATCCATAGATTTTTATGGGGCACTGTAACTTCAATTTGTTTTCTCAAAATGCATTTTACATTTTTACATGTTTAGTGGTGAGGCGGGAAATCTAACTGAAAATCAATTTTTTGAGAAACAAAGTCACAATTTTATTTCTAGGCAAAATCGACCAGACCTAGCGCAAACCTAGTGTACATTTGCAGATTTCTGTTCAAAAGTATACAATGATGTCACGTAGTACTATGGAACATCACACAGGACTGCCCTCATGTTTTTATGTGTTTGTAATTACCTTGACTGCAGGGGTGGAGCGTGATATGTTGATATTTGTTAGACCAATCACACTGTTCCTCAAACCTCCAGACCTCACCCCTCCTCCCCCTTCACTATCCCTTTTAGTCCTCCAGACCCCGCCCCTCCTCCCGCCTCACTGTCCCCTTTAGTCTTCCAGACACCACCTCCACACTCTCCCCTTTGGTCCTCCACACCCCGCCCCTCCTCCCTCCCTCGCCTGCCCCTTTAGTCCTCCAGACCCCGCCCTTCCTCCCTCCTCACTCTCGCCTTTATCTCTCCAGACCCGCTGCTTTCCCCTTTAGACCTTGTCCACCCGCCCCCCACACTCTCCCCTTTAGCGCGCTTTAATTTGGACATTTTTTGCATCCACAGCTTTACGCTCGATGCTTGACGATCCGGTTTGACAACTTTTCAAAGATCATAAAAAGGATAAACCCGAAGATGAAATACACTGTGGTGCTCGATGTCCAACATGGTCGATCCCAATTTCTACACCTTGTACCAGGGAATGCACGTCCCCAGTTTCTTCTTCACTCCGGAGTCTCTGAAGTACTGGGAGGACTTCACGTTTCGCCCGGATGATGTTATTGTAGCAACGTACCCTAAATCAGGTATGTTATATACATTGTGTAGTACTTCTGTTGCCTATTTGCAGTTACTTTTACTCAAATATTTATTTTATTTATATAGTGAAAGCATCCAGAGGGGGGTAGAGTAGCCCAAATGTGTACTCAAGTAATGCTACTTCAAGACAGTATTATAGAAGTAGAAGTACAAAGAGGTGGTCATTACTTTATAATTTGAAGTTTATGTAATTTGAAAGGACAAAACATGGAACAATGTGAGGTGGTTTTATGGGAGTTAGAGTACTGCAACTTCACTACAGAATATTTGTCAAGTACTCTTACTTCACTAAAGAATATTTGGCAGGTAGTCAATGGCGTAGATTTGCATAGGGATGGTAGTGAATATTTGGGGAAGACAAAATAGTCCCTACCAATATTTGCCATTTTATTTTAGCAAACAAAAATATGAATTTATTCTGATATTTTTGCAAACTCAGTAGTTTTAATTGAACAAGTTTGAGTTCACCCTTTGTTTATTAGACATTCTGAGATGTATTCAGTGACATGACAACAGGGTTACTCATGCCGCTATTTCATTGGCTGCAACAGAGTGATGTCATTAATAATAATAATAATAATAATAATAATAATAATAATAATAATAATACATCGGACTTATATAGAGCTTTTTTGAACACTCAATGACGCTTCACTAACAAATAAAGTGACAATGTAGAAAACGGTGGAATCATGGAGAGTTTTTAGAAGTGATCTGGAGTGCTGCAGTCAGTCCAAGTTCCTGATGGATTGTGGGAGTGAGTTCCAGAGGGAGGGAGCGGTGGCGGCAGTGGCGAAGGCTCGGTCCCCAAAGGTCTGGTGCTTTGTCCTGATGAGGGGAATGAGGAGGTTGGTGTGGGCTGATCTGATGCGGCGAGTGGGACAGTGCCAACAGAGGAGGTCAGTGAGATCGGGAGGGGCCAGGTTATGGAGGAACTTGTAGGTGATGAGGAGGACCTTGTATTGGATGCGGTGGAGCCAGTGGAGTTGCTTAAGGACAGGAGTGGTGTGGTCTCTGGAGTGGGTGTGGGTGAGGAGGCGGGCGGCAGAGTTTTGGATGTATTGCAGTTTTTGGAGGCGGGTGGAGTGGAGACTGTACAGTCAGCTGTTGCAATAGTTGAGATCATTAGTGTCATTAGTAATGAGTCGTCGCAGAAAAAGAACAACTATAGCCACATGTGCACCTCCCAAACGGAGCTATAGTCGTGTAGCCAGGCTGGCCCACCTAGTGCCTCCGCTCAATTTCATTTCTCTCCAGAGACTAGGTCATTAGGTCAGGAATTGGAATACACTAGACGGTTTGCAAAAACCTGAGAAGTGCAAGTTCAGGCACCAGCCAATCAGCAAAGAGCCATACATTCAGTGTTGTCAACGATTCCCGAGATTGAGGATTTAAAGTCGGAATAAAGAGAAAGTTTGGTGAACTTCATCAAGAGGAAAGACGTTATTGTCCTTCTTCCTACGGGATTTGGGAAAAGCTTAATATACCAGCCCCATTAGCGGCGCATTACATACATCACGACCAAATTAGGTTAAATTATAAAAAGTACCCGCCTACCATCAAGCGAACGACTTCTAACACTGCGAGGTCAGATGGTTTCCATGAAGTGATGCTGGCTGATGAATCAGGCTACTACTCGTGCGCTGTTAGCAGCCCAACTCTACTGACAATATTCCATGGAAAAATGTCTGGACATTACCTCACAAATATCTCATCACCAACAAGCAAAGGGAAATCTGCTACAAACTTCTATTCGCATCTGGATTGTTTTTGCTTTTAAATGTAAATATTGTGTAGAGATTGAATTATTTATCTGGAGTGGAAGAAATTATTTTTTTGTTCTTATCTGGAATGTTTTTGCTGTTCAGTGCACAAGACCCCAATAATGCAGTGGTTGTATTATTTATTTTGAGAGCAAGAATTTTATAGGCTTATGTTATTTGTTATCTGGAATGTTTTCTGTTGCACAAGAGCCCAAAATGTTCTTAAAATTTTAAAAAAGGAAAAAGTAAAGTATTGAACTATTCAGCACAGGTATTCGGGGGAGGGGGGTGCTTGCAGGTAGGTGTAGACGTATGCTGTTAGAAAAGTACTCTGAAAAGCCCAATATTTTGTAAGGGTCCATTTACGCTCTTTTCTGATCTACGTTATAATATAGTTTTGTCATCATAAACAGACCTGGAGTTGTGTTTTGTTTCATTACAGTTTAACATACAAACCCTGCAGATTTAGGCTTCTCTCAAATGGAAAACACACTGTTCCACCTTGTGATGTCATGTTGTGATACAAAAATGCTTTGCTATGTTTTTAAACTCCATACACCTTTATTAGAATCATTTAGATGATTTCAGCCCTGGAATTGCTGATCTCTACTGAACAGAAGGTAAAAGAAGCTGTTAACATCTACTACATGACATCACAAAGTGGAATCGAGCAATTTGGATTTAAAACTGTACTATGTACCTTTTCGATTTGGGGTCCGTCACCTGCTTGTTTCTATGGATATGTCATGACATTAAACAGCTCTACCTTACATTTATTCAATTACAGGTGGTTTTATAATGCAAAATGCCTAACAAAACAGTTTTGGTTTCCATGAAGATAGAAAGGTTTAATACCATACTGTGAAACATTCCAGACAAAGCAATTACCTTCACCAGAAAAGTTACAGAACGCACCTTGAAGAGACGGAGACAGACTCATAATATTAGGTTTACTCAGACATGTGTGAATGAAACAAAACACAAATCCAAGTCTGTTTTTGAGGAAGTAACAACATTCTAATATGCCTTAAATCTCCAGAGTCCATTTTGTGTAATATTGGACCTGCAACAACCAGAATAAAGTATAACACTTCTTCTCCAAATGCTTTTAGGTACAAACTGGGCGATGGAGATGGTGCCACTGGTTCTGTCTGGAGGGGACTCCAGTCTGGTGGACTCGGTGGCCGCATGGGAGCGCAGTGCCGGGATCGGACATGTGTACGCCCTCGGCAGAGACCTGGAGAACAAGCCCTCCCCACGATTCTTTGCTACGCACTACCACTACCATGCCCTGCCCAAGTCCTTCTACCAAGTCAAACCCAAGGTATGTACCAAAACTGGTATTGAAACTGGATAGATAGATACTAAAATTAGCATCCAAACTACATACTTACCTGTGGAGGTATCAGTACTAAACCTAGCATCAAAACTAGATATTTATTTGAGCAGGTATCGATACTAAACTAAAGCTATTGATACTACTACTACTAATAATAATGCCTGTTTTATGTAGCACTTTTCTGGACACTCAAAGACGCTTTACAGATCATTGTTCCTTCACTCCATTCTTGATGGTGGTAAACTACTATTGCTGCTATTGTAGCCAAAGCTGCCCTGGGGCAGACTGATGGAAGCGAGGCTGCCAATCTGCATAATCCACCACCATCACTCATGCACACACCACTTTCATACTAGGCAATGTGGGTGAAGTGCCTTGCCTAAGGACACAATGACAGTGCCCCACTGTGACTCCTGATTTTCCCAAAGATCTTCCATCCAAGTTCTAACCAGGCCCTGCCTTGTTTGGCTTCTGAGATCTGACGGGATCAGACTCTGACAAGCCGGTATAGACGTATAGACTAAATACTAAAACTAGCATTGAAACTAGATACTCATTTGAGCAGGTATTGATACTAAAAGTCCCATTCACAGGACAGAAATGAACCTTTCCTGAATACTTTTAGAATGACCAGAAACACTTGGCTGTAATTAGGGCAGTCTTGTGTGATGTCACGTAGTACTTAAAATTGCACTCAAAAAGGACTGGGAATAGAAGACAATGAACGCCATTTAAGTTATATAAGAACATATAGCATGGTGCCTAACACTATACCAGGGGTCATTAAACTAAGGCCTGAGGGCCAACTCTGGCCCACCACACCCTTTTGACCGGCCCCCCAGTCCCTCTGTCCCCCACCACTTGAACTGGCCCTATGAGGCAATCCTCTAAAGTTGTTATGGTCTATTTTTTTAAATTGCTTTTTGGCAAATAACAACACGTCTGCCTCTTGTATATTTTGTACATTTTTTTCAATAAAAAAATATATTTATATGAAGTATTTATATCTATATTTAAATAATTATGAAATATTTACTTTTGCCGCAGAATTTTTATCACCTGACAAGCTCGAGATTAAACAGTTACAGTCAATGCAATGTCGCTCATCACAGTCAGGAGCGATAATGTGACACCCAGATAAAAAAGTTTGGTGACTCCTGCGCTATATTTTGAGACTGGACCCTAGGAAGTAGAGCCTGACCGATATATTGGTTGGCCGATATTATCGGCCGATATGGGCACCTGGAAACATATCGGCTATTGGCCGATATGCTTGCTGATATGTGCCGATATTTCACGTGGGCATGTGATACGTCGTTATAAATCTTAGACTCTCTACATTATGTTCATTTAATCAAATTTACCGACAGATAAATGTCCTCATATGTGTCTCCGCATCAGTATTTATCTGTGGAATCATTTGTCTGTGTGTGTCCGTACTGTCCCTGAACACAGTCACGTCACGTCACTCACGTGTGTTTGTTTACACTCGCAGACATAGATACAAACACTGATATTATATTCTTTTTACGGACAATCCAGTTTTAGTTTGGATTAAAAGGACATTTATTAGTACAGACTTGTGATGTGAGGAGGAGCCTGTGTGAACGGTGAGTGTTGGAAATATGTTGAGCTGCTGTAGCTCCCACACATAAACAGACTGTTTTCTCTTCTATTGGTCTATTGTAAAGTGACTTTATTGGCCGTATATTTGTTACTGGACCTGCATTGATATGTAAATGAGCTGTGAATAGACGTGTGAATGACATTTGCGCATATAATTAATTACCGCTCTGCGCACGCATTAACGGCTAAAGGCTAATAGCGGTAGTTTCTTTACTAGCTAGTGGTGATGAGTCGGTCGCGAACGAATCGGCTCTTAGAGTCGGCTCTTTGGAGTGAACGACGGGAGCCTGATCCTTATTGGGAGCCGTGTTTTCTCTTTTTCTCACTTTTTTCTCTTCACGCTGCGTGCAGACTCGTGGTAGTTTGACAGCAGCAGCGGCTGAAAACGAAACTTTGAGAAATCTGCGTTTGCATAGGATAAAAAAATGTGCATGCTTGGCTGTAGTTCAGCATAAAATAAATAAACCAGGACTAATCTTGGGCTCGAGAGAAGGAGAGATAGAGACCGAGTCCCGACACTCAGTCCTGGTTCAGTTTTGTTCTAGTCCTGTTTTACACTTGGTTTAGATCTGTTTTAGTCCTAGTTTAGTCCTTTTTCAGTCCTGGTTTAGACCTGGTTCAGTCCTGGTTCACTCCAGCTTTAGAAGTGCTTTAGACCTGCTTGCAACAAAACTGAACTGGAATACCCATCACTAGTAGCTAGGATGTGATGCAAAAATGCCATTAGGTCAATCTACTGTCTGTAAATATGATGTAAAGAGGCAGAATAACAATAAATGTTGCCTAAATAAACCCAATTTAAAATCCACCAGAGCCAAACCTAAGTTTTTTAAACAATTCAAGATTTACAGTGAATTTTTACATCACTAAATATATCGGCGATTATATCAGCTATCGGCAGCTCCAACTCCCATTTTATCGGTTTCATATCGGCCACAACAAAATCCATATCAGTCGGGCTCTACTAGGAAGAGCAGTCATCTTACTTGCAGAGACAAATAGACAATCCATAAATAAACAAATAGACAAAATACATCTCTACTACAGTACATACATACATGCAGTACATCCATATTGTTATACAGACACACACATACACTCACATACATATAAGTATACATACACATACACAGGTACTTTGTATATTCTGACAACACTAGTGAGTATTCCTACCATGTCTTGCAGGTGATCAACGTCATGAGGAATCCCAAAGATGTGCTGATATCTGCTTTTCACTTCTACAACAGTGTGGAGTTTCACTCTAATCCAGGCACGCTCACTGAATTCTTCCACAATTTCCTCCAAGGCAATGGTAAGAAAGAGTACAGGCTATGAAGTAACCACAAGTAATTAATTTCATTACTTGAAGTTGCATTATGTAATTTTTCTGGTGGAGGGTGCGGCAAATGCTTTTCTCCATGAATGGTCACATTTTTCTATAGCGCTTTTCCACCTTCAAGGCACTCAAAGCGCTACAGGTAAAGTTACAGGTCAGATCTGTGGAGAGGCGATCCTGCTCACAGTCAGAATGCCTGTTTTTGTTTATTTATTTAAGTATTTTTGAGCTATAAAAGCACTTGTAATTCAAAAAATGAAAAGTAGAGCTGTTTAAAGTCATACTGTGGAACATTCCAGGCAGAGCAATGACATATCCATAGAAACAAGCAGGTGACAGACCCACAAACAAAAAGTTACATAGTGCAAAAAAAATCCTCAAGTAAAAGTATCACATGAAAAAAATCTACTGAAGTTAAAGTGTGAAAGTACCTGTTTAAAATGTACTTCAAGAGTAAGAAGTATTTTATGCAGAGATCTAAGAAAGCTTCAACTGTAGTGACTTTGATACATATTCGTACTGAATTTTGTTCAACAGAAACAAATTTTTAAATTTTTTAATCTGTTTTTATTTTTATTTGCTCAAATTATAAACGTGTTACTGATGAACCCTCAGCCTTTTCAGCAGCTCTCACATACTTTTACTTTTCAGTCCTGTTCAAAAATGCAGTGGAGTAGAAAGCAGAGATACCTGCTCTCAAATGTAGTGAAGTAAAAGTAAAAAAAAAATTTAAATGTACTTAAGTAAAGTACAGATACCTAATATGTATACTTAAATGTATACTTATATTACGCAAAATGGACTCCTGTCAGCTTTAAGCCATGTTAGAATGCTGTTAGCTCCTCAAAAACATACTGTTAAATGTGTACTTAAGTATTGCACTTTTACTTTTGTACTTCCTTACCTTCCACCACTGGGACCCTGTGATCAGTGTGAGCGTTCTTGTTTCTGTTTAAGAGTTTTCAACAAAAAGGTGAGAGTGACTAACTGAAAAACTTTAACAGACTTTTTTTTACAGCACAAATCAGCTCACATGTTGTAGTTCCAGCTAAGTCCATTCTTTCTGTTCCAGGAAAAGATCAGATTAAAGTCTAACAAAGCCTCGCTCAGACAGAGCAGTGCCTACATTTGCATCGAGGACCCAGGGAATATTGATAGTAGCTACTGCAAAGTATCAGTAGTGCAAGAGGATATTCCCACCTGTGCATCTTTGTGAAACATGTGAAAGTAGTTATTAAATATGTCCTGATTACATCAATCATCTGATTATTAAAAGTACAAGAACTATACACTAGTGTGTACAAACAGAATCTGACCACACCCATTTACATACACTCAGGTCATATCAGGATCCTGTTCAAAGCTATGGGCAGGATCAAGTAAGGTCATAACCTGTGGTTAGGGTGAGCAGACGTCACTATTTATCCAGGACAGTCCCACTTTTGAGCCCTGTGTCCCCTGTCCCAGCAGATTTATCCAAAACCACTGATTTGTCACAGTTTTATACAAGGAAATGTTTCAGATGTCCCTATTTTTGACAAATGTGATCCGTGCCAACAGTAAAGAGAGGCATGCATACTGACTCGTCTGTGCCAATTGCATAACAATTTTTCTCTATGCTACTTAGATTACACACTCACTTCACAATGTTATCTTTACCAACGAATCCAAACCGGGTATGTCCCAGTTTTTGATTTTGAAAATCTGGTCGCCCTACCTGTAGTGGAAGGTAATGAAGTAAAAGCTGTAAAACTGTACTTAAAGGCCCATAGGTCTATTTTCTGATCTCTGTTCTAATGTTTCCTCATCACAAACAGACCTGGAGTTGTGTTTGTTTCATTCACACATGTTATGGATTATGTTATATGATGTACAGTATATGTTGTTTTATATATTGTGTTGTGTGGACATCACTTTTGGCTCAGTGGGCAGAAAGGTTTATTTGGGAGTGACACACAGAGAGAACCATGACCTGACGAAGATCCACTGATCCAAACATTGTCACTGAGTAAATGCAGTTTGGGAGAAAGTGTGCAGGATTTGTCTCACTTTTCTGGTGTGTGTGTACACCTTAAACTTGAAAAAAATAATGTGTCTTCTTTAAATTTCTTTTGTGTCACAGTTGCGTTCAATTCCTGGTTCGAGCACGTGAAGGGCTGGCTAAATGCGGAGGACAAGTCTCATATTTTGTACCTGACCTTTGAGGAGATGCTGCAGGTGGGACTCTGTCACTCACAGAAACATTTGGAGCTATAGGAAAACCATGGACATGCAGATGGGGTGCACAGCAGAACTTTTTAGTTGGGGGTCCGTCACTTGCTTTTTTCTATGGATATGCCATTGCTCTGCCTGGAATGTTCCACAGTGTGACATTAAACAGCTCTACTTTACATTTATTCAAATACAGGTGGTTTTATAACTCAGAAAAACAGACCTATGTGAAGTTGGCCCCCCATCAAATGCAAATCTACACAAAAACTATGTAAATCGTTTGTGCTGTTTTGTGCAGCAAAAAGTTTGACTTGTGCTGCTTTAGTTTTTTTAGATATTAACAATTCTTTTATAGGTCAAAGAAGCTTAAAAATGCTCTGTAACAGCCCAAAATGGTGTCAATAATCTGTGCTTCATTTGTGCTGTAAAAAGTTTAATTTGTGCTATTATGGGTCTTAAGATATTAGCTCTTATGGATCTTAGCAAAAATGTTAAAACGTGCAAAATTTTTTAAAAATATATTACATCAGTTCTGTCTGTTTTGTTTGTGCTGTTATGTGGCATTAATATTTTTTAAGTTATTATTTACTTATTTTGCTGATTACATTATGTTTCCAGGCAGAAATGACGTAATGTAATCAGTGAAATAAGTAAACGTATAGTTTTTGTGTAGGTTTGCATCTGATGGGGGGGCCAACTTCATTTATTGCGATATTTAAAGGAGGAAAATTTTAAGAACAAAACTGTGAATACTCTACTTTTTCCTTTTAAAAGCCTTGACAAGACTTAACTGAAAAACCAAAGATGTAAAAGTGCTTAAAAGAGTTATTTCTTCATGTAGTCTGCACTGAAACGAAGCAAAGGATCATGGTCCATGTAGTTCCCTCTGTTTTTTTAGCTATTGCTGCACCATAACTCTTAATTTAAGCAAAAAGACTTGTAACTCGATATATTGTGACGGTCCACGATATTATTGCAAAATCTTTAACGATACAATATCACGATAATTCGATTATTGTTATATCCTTAGTAAACGTAGCAAATTTTTAGGCATTCTGACTGAGAGCGGGGTTGCCTCTCCACAGATCTGACCTGTAACTTTGTCTTGGTCCATGAATATAGAAAGGTTTAATACCATACTGTGAAACATCTCCATGGAGAAAAGCATTTGACGGACCTTCCAGAAGAAAAGTTACAAAATGCACCTTTAAATTTCTCAGTTAGGGCTCCCCAAACTGCACTTGGGAGCCCTCAAAACTAGAACCTGCTCACTATAACTGTCATACTTTGTGTTGAGTTGTAATCGTGGTGTGTCTCTGTGAGGTTCCAGGATCTGCCGCAGGTGGTGAGAAGGACGGCTGAGTTCCTGGAGAAGCCCCTGGACGAGGAGCAGGTAGACAGGATCGCAGACAGGTGCTTGTTTAAGAACATGAAGAAACACAACCACAAAGTAACCGCCGGCCTCGACCACTCCAAGTTCTACAGGAAAGGTACAATTTGCACTTTCAGTCATGTAAGTAGATGTTTAGTGCAGAGGTCGTGTAACGCCGTCTGGTCCTTCATTCTTCACTGTGATTGGTCGAATCCACCTGTCACTCATGCGCTCGAGTATCCCGGCTATGATCCTCGTCCTGGTTATGGCGGAATTCTGGATATGACGTTTACATGCGCCCAGAGAAACCAGGATAGTGTTCTGGATAATTAGAGTGGTTGCTATGGTAACTACGGCACAGACATTGCAAGAAGCTAAACATTAGAGATGTAACAATATGCAAAACACTCAGTACGATATTTTCACGATATGCATCTCACGGTACGATGTTTATTGCGATATTTTAAGGAAGCTAACAAAACTGTGAATATGCTACTTTTTCCTTTTAAAAACCTTGACAAGACTTTACTGAAAAAACTAAAATGTAAAAGTGCATAAAAAGTTATTTCTTCATATAGTCTGCACTGAAACAGAGCAAAGGATCATGGTTCATGTAGTTCCCTCTGTTTTTTTTTTTAGCTATTGTTGCACCATAACTATTAATTTAATTAAAAAGAGTTGTTATTGGATATATTGTGATGGTCTACGATATTATTGTCAGATCTTTAACGATACAATATCATGATATTTCGATTATTGTTACATCCCTATCAACATGTTGCACATTTTCTAACATTTAACAGGTTTCAAACAACATAAAATACTTACATTCATGTAATAATGTGAGACTGTGGAGCTCAGTCACAGCTAAGGATGTAACCATATCCAAATCGCTCAATACGATATTTTCACAATATGCATCTCAAGGTACGATATTTATTGCCATATTTTGTATAACGGAAGTGTGAATATGTTGCTTTTCTATGTAAAATCCCTCAGTCGTCCAGGTACAACGCATGGCAAAGGAGAAATTCTATTTGTCATCTGGACAAATAAACAAAAAAAAAACAACAACTCCACAACAAAAAAACAAAACAAAAACTACTTTTGTCCTGTTGACAAATTAAACTACTCCTTTGCCATGCTACTTTTCTGTTAAGATTCAAAAGTGTTTAATAACAGTTATTTCATGATGTAGTAGATTGGACTGAAACAGAGCAAAGGATCATGGTCTATGTAGTTCCCTCTGGTTTTTAACTATTGCTGCACCATAACTATTTATTTAAGCGAAGAGACTGTGGAGGACTGTCACAGCTTCAATAAAAGGGTTTTTAACACAAATGCAGGATGACACACATTGTCAGTGTAGTCCAAAAGCAACACAACGACACAGACGTGAGCCTGGTGTTAAAAGATGACTGTATTAACCAGGACACTGTTTTCTTTTGTATTATTATATAATGACTTAAGAAGTTCTGGTAAAAATTTGAGTCACTGTGGGAAAGTAACTAAGGCAGATTGTGTATTTTGAATTGCAGTAGTTCCAAAAAGCACTGCGAGAATGACAACAAAAATATTCTATGAAGTAAATGCAAATTCTGAAGCCAACTTTGGGAACTAAATCGGACTATTTACATCTTAGAAATGATGTGAAAATCTCGTCTTGTCTCGTTCCCGTGGACCCGATCTCGTGTCATGTCGAGAGTCTTGCAGTTTTTCAAGTATACTGCCTTCTCCAGGATACTGACATCAGGATACTGCGTTTTCATGGACACTTAGAAAACCAGGACACTCCAAAAAACCAGATCAGAACCAGGAGTAGACGGCGTGTATGTTAGTTTGAGCTACAGAATCACCCTGAATCACCGTAGATAGACCCGACTCATAATCTGATATTGGTCATTTTTGAAAACTTTATAATTTTTTTGATTGGAATTTGTGTTTCAGGAATTGCTGGTGACTGGAAGAACCATCTGTCAGAGGAGGAGGTGCAGCACTTTGACTCTGTATACAAAGAGAAAATGAAAGATGTTGATTTTAAGTTCCCGTGGGATTAAAACGTTTTGTTCTCCAAAACCTTTCACTTTTAATTTCTTTTTTTTTTTTTTTTTTGGGTGGCACTTTTTAATGCACATCAATTACAAATCAACTCTAAAATAGTTTCTTCTTGAAGGTGCTTACAGTGCACTTCCTGACCTCAATATGACCTCCTTATCCAATATATCTGAGCAAGAACAACTAGCATGCTAACAGTGATACACCAGCCGCTCATTGACTTTTATTTATTTCACATTTTTCTCCGATCAAAGTGCATGTTACAACCCGACAGAGCCTCGTCAAGAATATCAATTCGAAATAATGACACAGGTTTGACACGAAACAAGCAAAGAAAGCGGCTCATCTGTACAGTTCGATCTGCAGCGGCATCTTCAGAGGAAAACAAAAGAGAAAGATAGAGAGAAATCCACTGTACGCAAAAGAAGGACAATTTTTGACCCAGGTTTAGTCCAGACTTGGTCCAGGTTCAGTCCTGGGCGATAGTGCACTTCCATAGGGCTGGACAGTTCGTGGTCCAAATGCCAAAGAGAGAAAGCTGATGTTTCAGCGACGTGGATCTATGGCAGAGAAAAAGAAAAAAACAGATTATAAATTGACAGAGGTGGGAGCAAGTCATTGTTTGACAAGTCTCAAGTCTTTGACCTCAAGTCTGAGTCAAGTCCCAAGTCAAATACAGGCAACGTGACTGGCCCATAAGTGCAAGTCAAGTCCAAGTCGTCTGCTTTGAGTCTTTAAAGTCTTTATACCAATTTTTTTGCAATTTTCATGACTTTTAAGATAAATTGTATTTAAGAAATCATAGTACATTTTCATATGAGTATTTATAAAGTATGTAAAAAATGTCGAAATGTTAATTTTTCCTTTTTAAATGTCTTGACAAGATCTTAGTGTGAATCATTGCAGTCAGAATAAAAAAGTCAAGTCAAGTCTTCTCAAGTCACAGGCCTCAAGTTCAAGTCAAGTCCCAAGTCTTGCTCCATTTTATCAAGTTTCAAGTCCTAAAAATCGTGACTCAAGTCTGACTCGAGTCCAAGTCAAAACCTGCAAGTCCCCACCTCTGTAAATTGAATCTTAATGGTGCATTGTGTAGAATTTCTGCTGGAAGGTCCATCAAATGCTTTTCTCCGTGGAGACGTTATTGCTTCGTCTTGAATATTTCACAGTATGCCTTTCTACCTTTCTGTCTTCACGGAGACCAAACCAGAACAAAATAACAGGTCAGATCTGTGGAAAGGTGACCCTGCTCACAGTCAGAATGCCAGATTTTTTGTTTTTCTAGGTATTTTTGAGCTATAAAACCACCTGTAACTGAATAAATGTAAGGTAGAGCTGAGTAATGTCACACTGTAGAACATTCCAGGCAGAGCATCTAGCAGATGACGGACCTCTAACCAAAAAGTTACATAGTGCAACTTTAAATAAACAACATATAAAGTTAAAGATGCACTGTGTAACTTTTCTGGTAGAGTAAATCTAGATTTGATTTGTAATTACAGGTGTTTTTAAGGCTCAAAAATGTATTGTTGCTGTGAGCGGGTCAGCCTCTCCACAGATCTGACCTGTAACTTGGCCCAGTTTTTTTTTTTTGACCAGTGATTTATGTAACTATGGCGCCCTCAAGTGGCAGAAGAATTTTACATCTGCACCAATTTAATTCTTTACCACAATATGTGTTTATTGTTTACAAAGTCATGGTTTTTAATGTTGAATAAAGCTTGGTTATTTTATACTCTATTCGCTGTTTTCATTTTTATTTGCTTTTATTTATTCATTTATTTTCAGGCAAAGATTAAGCCCTAAAAATTGCATTGTTTTTCACTTTCGCCACAAGAGGGCAGTAAGATCATTTGTGGGGTTTTTTTCCCCCTGTAACAATGAAATTTGAGTCATAATTTCCACATAACATCGACTACTGATACAAACTTTACCAACAACCCAACTATAAATGAAAATCTGATGTTTTTTTTTTTTTCTTCTTTTTGAACAATTCTCAAAACTACAGGGTCTGTGTCCAATTTCACAAAATATTACAAACATTTACTAACCACACTGCAAAAAGCAATATCTAGGTAACTTAAAATTTACTTAAAATTAAGAACATTTGACTTTTATTTGAGTAGAAGTGTCTATCAATGAATGAATGTTTCTTATTTTAAGTTAAGAGTTAAGAGTATTTTTAGTGTAGCAAGATGTATTTTCATATTTTAAGTAAAAAAAAAAAAAAATCTTAATTCAAGGTGCACTGAAGGTCTGTCAAATGCTTTTCTCTGTGGACATGTTTTTGCTTTGTCTTGAATGTTTCACAGTATGGCATTAAACCTTTCTATCTCCACGGAGACCAAACCAAACCAAGTTACAGGTCAGATCTGTGGAGAAGCAACCCCGCTCAAACTCAGAATTCCTGTTTTCTAGGTATTTTTGAGCTCTAAAACCACCTGTGATTGAATAAATGTAAAATTAGAGTTGTTTAATGTCATACTGTGGAACATTCCAGACAGAGCAGTGACATCTCCATAGAAACAAGCAGGTGACGGATCCCCAACCAAAAAGTTACATAGTGCAGCTTTCAAATAATCTTAACTCGATGTGAGTTTTTTTTCTCCCATGTGTCATTGGTGCGTACTTTTACTTTTACCTGTGTCTACGTGGACAGTCCCAGCGTGTTGACAGTCACACACCCCAGCTGCAGTAGTAGTATTTGCAGTAGTAGTAGTAGTAGTAGTAGTAGAGGGAGTGTGTGGTCCAGCGCGGGGGCCCCTGAGGGTACGGGCTTCCTCCTCTTGGGGCCGTTGCACAGGGGCGTGTTGCAGCAGGTGATGCACACTGAGTTGAGTCGGCCCGTGCAGAACTGCTGGTACCCCGAGGACGCGATGAGGCACGCTCCAGAGGACGCACACGACTTCCTGTAGTGGATTCCTACGAGCAAGGAATCCTCCCCCGCCTCACTATCCCCCGCCTCCTATCCCCCGCCCCTCCTCCCGCCTCACTATCCTCCCCTTTAGTCTTCCAGTTGCCACCTCCACACTCTCCCCTTTCGACCCTGTCATTCCTCCTGACTCGCTCTCTCCTTTAGTCCTTCAGACCCCGCCCCTCATCCCTCCCTCGCCTGCCCCTTTAGTCCTCCAGACCCCCCTCTCCCCTTTAGACCTTGTCCACCCGCCCCCCCCTCTCCCCTTTAGACCCCGCCCCTCCTCCCCCCTCGCCTTTCCCCTTTAGCCCCCCCGGCGCTGCTCATCTGTGTTTAGAATGCGCTCGTGGGCGGGGCCGAGGCGCGCAGTGCCGCTTCAACAACACTGTGCGTGAAGCGCTCAGACCCGTTTTTCGCATCCACAGATTTACGAACCGGTTTGACAACTTTTCAAAGATCATAAAAAGGATGAACCCGAAGATCAAATACACTGTGGTGCTCGATGTCCAACATGGTCGATCCCAATTTCTACAACTTTTACCAGGGAATGCACGTCCCCAGTTTCTTCTACACTCCGGAGTCTCTGAAGCACTGGGAGGACTTCACGTTTCGCCCGGATGATGTTATTGTAGCAACGTACCCCAAATCAGGTATGTTATATACATTGTGTAGTACTTCTGTTGCCTATTTGCAGGGTGACCACAGTAAGAATGGGGTATTTTGAGCACCAGTAACTGAAAAATTTGAACGCAAGATAGACCAGTTTCAAAACATCCTGGTTACGTGAAAGCATCCAGAGGGGGTAGAGTAGCCCAAATGTGTACTCAAGTAAGAGTAACGCTACTTCAAGACAGTATTATAGAAGTAGAAGTACAAAGAGGTGTTCATTATTTTATAATTTGAAGTTTAATTTGAAAGGACAAAACATGAAATAATGTGAGGTGGTTTTATAGAAGTTAGAGTACTGCAACTTCACTACAGAATATTTGTCAAGTACTCTTACTTCACTAAAGAATATTTGGCAGGTAGGCAAGGGCGTAGGTTTGCATAGGGAAGATGGGGACACGTCACAACCAGTATTTGGGGAAGACAAAATAGTCCCTACCAATATTTGCCATTTTATTTTAGTAAACAAAAATATGAATTTATTCCAATATTTTTGCAAACTCAATAGTTTTAGTTGAACAGGTTTGAGTTGTTTAGACGTTTGTTGTTAGACGTTCTGAGATGTATTCATATGTACTTCTATGACGACAGGGGTTACTCATATTTCATTGGAGTGATGTCATTAATAATAATAAAAATAATAATAAATCAGACTTATATAGCGCTTTTTGAACACTCAATGACGATTTACAGACAAATAAAGTGACACTGTAGAAAACGGTAGAATCATGGAGAGAATGCCACATTGAACAGGTGAGTTTTTAGAAGTGATCTGGAGTGCTGCAGTGGGTCCAAATTCCTGATGGATTGTGGGAGTGAGTTCCAGAGGGAGTTGAGCAGGTGGCGGCAGTGGCGAAGGCTCGGTCCCCCAAGGTCTGGTGCTTTGTCCTGATGAGGGGAATGAGGAGGTTGGTGTGGGCTGATCTGATGCGGCGAGTGGGACAGTGCCAACAGAGGAGGTCAGTGAGATCGGGAGGGGCCAGGTTATAGAGGAACTTGTAGGTGATGAGGAGGACCTTGTATTGGATGCGGTGGAGCCAGTGGAGTTGCTTAAGGACAGGAGTGGTGTGGTCTCTGGAGTGGGTGTGGGTGAGGAGGCCGGCGGCAGAGTTTTGGATGTATTGCAGTTTTTGGAGGCGGGTGGAGTGGAGACTGTACAGTCAGCTGTTGCAGTAGTCGAGATCATTAGTGTCATTAGTAATAAGTCATCGAGGAAAAAGAACAACTATCACCACAAGTGCACCTCCCAAAAGGAGCCCTAGTCGTGTAGCCAGGCTGGCGCCACCTAGTGCCTCCGCTCAATTTCATTTCTCTCCAGAGACTAGGTCATTAGGTCAGGAATCGGAATACACTAGATGGTTTGCAAAAACCTGAGAAGTGCAAGTTCAGGCACCAGCCAATCAGCAAAGAGCCATACATTCATTGTTGTCAACGATTCCCGAGATTGAGGATTTAAAAGTTGGAACAAAGAGAAAGTTTGGTGAATTTTATCCATCGGAAAGACGTTTTTGCCCTTGTTCCTACGGGATTTTGGGAAAAGCTTAATATACCAGTTAGCCCCGTTAGCGGCACATTACATATGTGACCACCAAATAGCAGCGATTAGTTAAATGATAGGAAGTACTACCGTCAAGTGAACGAATTCTAACACTGCAAGCTCAGACGGTTTCTACGAAGTAAAACCATCTGATGAATCAAGCTACTACTCGTGCGCTGTTAGCAGCCCAACTCTACTGACAATATTCCATGGGAAAATGTCTGGACATTACCTCACAAATATCTCATCACCAACAAGCAAAGGGAAATCTGCTACAAACTTCTATTCACATCTGGATTGTTTTTGCTTTTAAACGTAAATATTGTGTAGAGATTGAATTATTTATCTGGAGTGGAAGAAATGATTTTTTTGTTCTTATCTGGAATGCCTGGAATTGCTGATCTCTACTGAACAGAAGGTAAAAGAAGCTGTTAACATCTACTACATGACATCACAAAGTGGAATCGAGCAATTTGGATTTAAAACTGTACTATGTACCTTTTCGATTTGGGGTCCGTCACCTGCTTGTTTCTATGGATATGTCATTGCTCTGCCTGGAATGAAAGCATGACATTCTTTATTTTATCTTTATTTATTTATTATATAGCGCTTTTCACTGACATTTTTTGCCCCCAAAGACACTTTACAGAGCATTATTCAGCATTATTCATTCACTCTAGACCTGGTGATGGTAAGCTACTATTGTAGCCACAGCTGCCCTGGGGCAGACTGACAGAAGCGCAGCTGCCATGCCACTCGGCGCCATCGGTCCCTCTGACCACCACCATCACTCACACACACACCACTTTCATACTCGGCAATGTGGGTGAAGTGTCTTGCCTAAGGACACAATGATTGAAGTGATTGTGTTTAACTGACCTTGACTATCAACTGGAGACCTGTAGCATGTTTTGGGTTGACATTAAACAGCTCTACCTTACATTTATTCAGTTACAGGTGGTTTTATAATGCAAAATGCCTAACAAAACAGTTTTGGTTTCCATGAAGATAGGTGATAGATAGATTCCAGACAAAGCAATTACCTTCACCAGAAAAGTTACAGAACGCACCTTGAAGAGACGGAGACAGACTCATAATATTAGGTTTACTCAGACATGTGTGAATGAAACAAACACAAATCCAAGTCTGTTTTTGAGGAAGTAACAACATTCTAATATGCCTTAAATCTCCAGAGTCCATTTTGTGTAATATTGGACCTGCAACAACCAGAATAAAGTATAACACTTCTTCTCCAAATGCTTTTAGGTACAAACTGGGCGATGGAGATGGTGCCACTGGTTCTGTCTGGAGGGGACTCCAGTCTGGTGGACTCGGTGGCCACATGGGAGCGCAGTGCCGGGATCGGACATGTGCAGGTCCTCGGCAGGGACCTGGAGAACAGGCCCTCCCCACGATTCTTTGCTACGCACTACCACTACCATGCCCTGCCCAAGTCCTTCTACCAAGTCAAACCCAAGGTATGTACCAAAACTGGTATTGAAACTGGATACTCATTTGAGCATAGATAGATACTAAAATTAGCATCCAAACTACATACTTACCTGTGGAGGTATCAGTACTAAACCTAGCATCAAAACTAGATATTTATTTGAGCAGGTATCGATACTAAACTAAAGCTATTGATCCTACTACTACTAATAATAATGCCTGTTTTATGTAGCACTTTTTCTGGACACTCAAAGACGCTTTACAGATCATTGTTCCTTCACTCCATTCTCGATGGTGGTAAACTACTATTGCTGCTATTGTAGCCAAAGCTGCCTTGGGGCAGACTGATGGAAGCGAGGCTGCCAATCTGCATAATCCACCACCATCACTCACGCACACACCACTTTCATACTAGGCAATGTGGGTGAAGTGCCTTGCCTAAGGACACAATGACAGTGCCCCACTGTGACTCCTGATTTTCCCAAAGATCTTCCATCCAAGTTCTAACCAGGCCCTGCCTTGTTTGGCTTCTG